CCACTCTTTGTCCCACAATCAACTATCCATCGGTGACATGGAAAGGGAGTGGCACACACGTGCCCCTGTCGATTCATAGCCGCTTGAGCCCCTACTTGCGGCTCCACCTCGACCACACTTCTGACCCACTTGCAGGCCCGGCTGGCCGACGGGTCCCCTCTTTTGCTATTTTTTTTATTTTTTTTCTTCATTTATCTCAAAACATGATTATAAAAATCATTTAAAATCATATAAAATCACATAATTAGCCAAAAAATCACATTAACCAACTAAAAACCACTTTTCATAAATTAACATAATTATAAGTCTATTTATCATAAATTAAGGCTAAAACTATATTATTTATTAATTATGAACTCATGATAATGAAAACTTATCATAAGGTCAGTTCCCTTCTGACCCCCCATCTAGGGGTTAATCTCCTATTGGCGGAGTCGCTCATTAAAGGCTCTGAACTATTCCTCTGTCACAGGAGGTTCCTCCCCACTAGTATTGCTCGTAGATTATCCTTGAAGCTCCTCAACCTTCCTATTTGTCGACTAGATGTGCTCCTCTAGTCACTCTTGGCTCTCGTTTGAGCACTCTTTCCATCAGGCCATCATTTAATAGAGTTTGGACATGTTTTCTTTGAGCACCCTTTTGACCGCCTAAAAGGGCTTTTGTGTGGACTGCAGTTCTTGCTCCAATCACGCAATACGTGGCCCTTGCCCCCTTTCTCCTATGGCTTTGATATCACTATTACACCTTGAGTGAGATTTGGCACTAGATAACTAAGATCCACTCTCCAATTAGCCCTTTGAATATTTAATAAAACTCACAAAGGGTTATGTCTTTCATCTACTCTCCACCTTCCTCGGTTATGAAGGGGGAGGGAAGCGAACTAGCTGTTACAAGGGGTTCAGAGTACCCGTTATGCTTGAGCTGTAGTTAGCTGTTGAGGCATAATGGTCGTCTCGCTCGCTAGTCATTGGAGCGCTTCGGGCACTTTGGGCGCCCCGCTGACTATTCCACCTACATGGGTGTCATCCCCCCGTCGGCGTCCACTGTGACTACATTCTCCCCATCACACATGTGTATTAGTCTTCTCGCCTCCTACAAGGGTTCCGTGTGTTTGGGGACCCATTTTGTCTTGGGTCATGTGACGCCACACCTTGCCACCATGCCACACAAGTCCGTTGTGCTGCATGCATCGACTGTGCCACGCGCCTGCCGTGTCACATGCGCCTGTTGTGTCGCATGCGCCCGCCGTGCTGCGCACGTCCATTGTACCTACTCTGTTGAGCGCGCCCACCGTGTCGTGCGCACCTGCCGTGCCTGTTGTGCCAAGTGCACCCACCATGTCGTGCGTGTACCATGTCGTGTGTTTGCTGTACCCGCTCTACTAAGTGCTCCCACCATGTCCCACGTGCCTATTATGCTGTGTGCACCCGCTGTGCCAAGTGCACCCACTATGCCGTGCACACGTCGTGCTGCAAGCGTCCGCTATGTCATGTGTGTTTATCCCGCCGCATGAGCCTGCCCTGTCGCAGGTGCTTGTTGTCCTTTACAAGTCTACTGTGCCGCTGCTTCTTCCGTGACACCTATTCCTTGACTACTTTTTTAGGCCTCATCTTTTATGTGCACTTTTTTAGGCCTCATCTTTAAAAATAACCATATAAGTCTTAGGTCGAACACAAAGATATTGATTAATACATCGTGAAAATTAATTTAGTTTATATATAGAGTGATTTAAATATTTTATTATTATTTAATAAAAATAAGAAAATAAAAAGGTGAGGTGAGAAGAATAAAAGAAGAAAGGAAGGAGGAAAATAAAGCTCTCACAAAAGAGAGATAAGAGATCTCTCACAAAAGAGAGAGAAAGGGAGAGAATGAGAAAAATCTCCTGTGAGATAGAGAGAGAAACATCTCACGAGAGAGATGGAGAGAGAGAGAGATCGATGGAGAGAAAGAGAGGAAGATTAAGAGAGAGAGCAAGATCAAATGATAATTAATAAAGAAAGAAGCACGGTCAAGATAATAAATAATTATTTTCTTTATATCCATGATAGTGATACATGCGAGAACTGAAGTTCACAATATAGTGGTGCTTCGTGAGCCATTGGATCAAATGTGTTTGATCATGTGGTGCACTAAGTGATGCAGGATCAACCTATCACAAACCACTATCGATCATGAACTTAAATCCCAGATACCATGGTGCCTTCTTAGCCATCGAATCATAATTTATGGTCATGTGCATGTTGAGAGTCGTCGAATTCGTAAACTATTGATGGATTGTTTTATGCATCTAATATCATGGTGGTTTGCCTACTATAGGATCTAACTTATTTGATGATGTGGCTCATTGAGAACCATTGGATGACACAATGCTCTAGACAACTAGTCTGAAACTCACCAAAAACTTTAGTCCCACATTGAAAATACTTCAGCAAATGAGCCAAATATAAATCAAAGCTTAGGAGAAGGTAAAAAAGGTGATCCGTGCCACGCACACATGTGTGTATGATGCTCCTTGCTTCACGACTGGTTGGCCACCGAAACGTGGCAGAGGAGTGGCATACACATGTGCAAGGTGAGTCCTCCTTTGCCACTCAGGCCCAACTCGTGGCTCCCCCAATCTAGGTCTACCCACTTGACCGTAGTGCCCCTCTAGGTCAATTCTTGAATGCTAGCTTGCTAGCATGTGGTGATATTTTTTATATTTTATTCTTATATTTTTTAAAATAATTAAAAATTATGTTAAGTATTTTAACTTAATAGTTCTAAAATTAATAATATATTCTTATATTTATTATGAAAGTTAAAAAAATAAAATAATATAATATAACTAATTAAAACACAAAAATCTAACTTTAACAATCTTCTATCATGAACTTTTATTTATAATCACCACTTTACAAGATTGACATGACATCTACTTTAGATGGTTATTAGTTGATAGTCTCTTATTGCTAACAAGTCATGTTATGGTAACAGCAATTAGTGGTGGTTAAACTTTTAGGTTATTTGTCAGTAGAGATGTTCCAAGTTTTTAGTGTCCCATTAGAGACATAGTAGAAGCTATGAGACATATGAACTCACCACTCTCATGACAGCAGCTGGCATCTCCATCGCCACTGCTGCTATTGATGATGATGGCGACACGAAGTAGCATGCCGAAGGAGTAACCGTCAGAATCCTTGCTGGTGATGCGAAAGTTGTGAGAACGATGGGGGGAAGAGAGAGGAGGTTTTAAGGGAGAAGGAGGGCCTCTGTTGACATCCATCAAGCAGAAGAAACATTTTATAGCAACAGTGGGCCAAAAAGGGATAGGCACATCTACTTATTGGCCCATTCTTGTCTGATCCGTAGTGGGCCGAAGGGTTACTATTGAAAATGGGCTGAACCTCCCTCTACCATTCTCTCAGGGTATGAGACGGTTTTTGGGCCTGATTATGTGGAAGATTGGCCCAATAGAGGATAATTAATTATTACCGTCAGATCAATGTCGAACGGGTTTGGTCCCCCCACGTCCGCTGATGAAAATCCGGACACGTGCGTCCCAATCGGACGGCCAGTAGTCGCTATCCTCGCGTCGCGTCTATCAGCGTCTTGGTGGTCCCGGGATGTCACATCAGCCGTTGCTGAAAGATTCAAGGGTGCACGGCCCGATTATTTGCGCCCTTCGACACGGAACCTGGATGGCGGAATTCTTCTGACGGAGACCACAGCAATTAATTGACGGGCTTTGATGCGATCGCTCTGATTGTCATCAGGGCCCACTTTATTCGGGCCTTGTGGCTTAAAATCAAGCCCGGAATGCATTAATCAGCTCGGCCCGGAACGGCCCGATTCTTATCTAGGCCAGCCCACCGCTTCAATCTCTCTCTCTCTAGGGATTCAGGGAGGAGCAGGTCTTCAAGGTAATTGGGGCCAAGGTGATGTGAAGCAAAGAACAAAACAAGTTGACCCAAGTGAGAAAATTAGCCACCTCCGCTACATGTCAACCTAACACGATACCAAAACACCGCCTCTCGAAGTCAATCCAGGCAAAACGCCAACACACCCCGCCTTCCTAGTCAACCCACCCTGTCGCTGAGCTCGAACAGAACATGTTTCGTGGCAGAAAGTCAAGCAAATAAATCCCAAAGGCGACGAAGCAGACGGTCGGCGGCAGTTAACAACATATGAACCGCGATTGGTCTTCGCAGGGACGGAGAGTAGACATCACTAAAAATCAAGTAGAAAAAAGTAATTGGCTCGGATATTTTGCACGAGGCCGGAAAGGAACAGCCGTTTCCTCTTTTGGTATGAAAAAAAAAAACTCAAAGTTCTGGGTTATCTCCCCATTTAAAGGGTGCTCTGCTGCTCATCGGGGACGGCGGAGATTGATGTCGGAAGGACCAAATACCCAGAGAGAAGAGCTAAGGGGGGTCTTCGTTTCCTGGGTCAGTGCCGTTAATACCAGAGATGGTCGCTCAGAGAGAACAGAGGAAATAAGATGCACGAGAAGAAGTCAACTACAGAGCAGCACAGCCGTCCCGCATTAGCCCGTAAAGGTTATCTTGGTGAAGAAACGATCAATGAACACCAGGATTGGAACGAGATAATCGCCTCGGATGGCGAATTCAACGCGCCACCGGATCCGATGTCGCTCGAAAAATATGATGAAGGTGTGGAATTGATGATCCGATGCCAGTACGAGCCCAATGATCGGGGCAATTGATGCAAGATCATATAATATAATAACCCCACAAACAGGGGGGAATGAAACAGGAAGAACGTTTTGTTCGATCGAAAAAAGACCATCTTACAGAGTGCGTACCGGTGATTAGAAGATTGCCAACTGAGTGATCTTCTCATCTGTCGACCCCAGCAAGACCATCGTACTCTCCCACTCCTCCTCCTTCTTCCTTTCGGCGTCGGCAATTTGCATACCGCGAGAAACCAAGATCTTGAATGAATGAAGCAAATGCATGGAAGAATTGTACAGGAGAGTCCGCTCTGGAGTTTGTTTCTTAGGTTCCAGAGTGACCCAGCCAATCCAGGCCATCAGTTCGACTGCGAACAATCCTGTGGAAGACGTCCCTCACATGGCGCTCCAGGGGGTCCAAGCCATTCTTCAGAGAATCGCAGACCTGGGACAACTCCTGCAACCTCTGCCTGAGCTCCATCTCTCGTTCTTCTCCCAGCGGGAACTGAGAAGGGTCGGCCAGCTCCGCCAAATGACGCGAGCATCTCTCAATGCCTTGGATCTCCTTCAACAAACCGCTGGAGTTCCGGCGATCCCTCTTCTTGGACTCCTCCAGGATTCGTTCGTGCAGTGAGGTCATCGATGCCGCCCACGAGAAGTTGCGCGGCACCGAGAAGTGCGTCTGCAACCCGCGGTCCTGACAGGGAATAGCAGCGACGAGCGCCGACATCACGAAGAGGAGAACCGAATTCATGGTGTAGACGGGGAGGATGAGCCCGTTGGTGGCGACGATCTCATGGCTACGTGGGGCCGCGAGGTTGTTGCCAATCCCCTGGAGCTGTCGAGCCGCAGACCAGGAGCGGGAGACGCTCCATGAGAGGGATCGGGAGTGGCCTACGGCGAGGCGGTGGTGGTCTTTGGTAGAGGTGTTGATCCGGCCAAAGGAGCGGTTGCGGTGCGCCACCACAGAACCGGCCTCCTTCTCATCGAGCATAGCGATGGTGAGATCGGTGAGGGCCTTCTTGGCGCGACGGAGCTGGCCCTCCCCGAAGGCCCGATGGTGAGGATCGAGAGCCACCTGCACGATCTCAAGGTGCTTGTGCCATTGCCGGATCTGCTCGAGGCCGTCGCGGATGGCGTTGCAGACGTCGAGAGCCTTAACGCTGCGCTCGAAGAATTCGGCCACGAGGCGATCGAGAGGGGACCGCGAGAGGACTCCCCTGTGGTTCATCAGGATCGCTTTGAACTCCTCCTGGCACACCAGGAAGGCCTCCAGCAGCCTCCGGATCCAGGAGAGGGAGAGAAGCTCCTCCCCGCCCCCAGCGCTTGATCCCGCCGACGATCCGCCGGCGGAGGCGAGGTCCTGAAAGAGCTCCGCCACATGCCTCTGGAAGGACTCCAGCTCGAGCTCGTGCGCCGCGGCGGCGGCGGCGCCGCCGCCGGCATCGTCGTGGTGAGTATCCATGGAATGCGCCTGCTCGCGGCGGATGCTGAGGATTGAGCGCCCCAGAGACGCAAATGGCACAGATGAGCCCTGGTAGTCTGTCGCCGGCATTGTCACATGACAAGAACACCACCACCACCACCACGACAAATGACCGCCAGGATGAACAACAGAGCCAGAACCAGACCAGAAACGCGCAACCAGAGCAGATCCGGAGACGGCGACCTCAGAGGAAGGCAGAAATCCTCCCAAAATAGGTTCCCCTTAGCCCCCGGCAGAGGAGACGGAGACAGAAGCCCCAAATAGAAGATATCCTCAACGACCAGACGATCTTCCTCTGAGAACTGGAGACGAGGTCAGTGGCGGAGGAGCCCGTTTAGATAGGCGGGGTGTAGAGAGAGAGCGAGAGAGAGAGAGAGAGAGAGAGAGAAGAACGAGGGGATGAAGACGCCGGCAGAGAAGGCGGGGCGAACGAAGAGGTGAGCGGGGAGAAGGACGAGACTGGTTCTTCGTCCGTCTTCTCCCGCCTTCAAAAGGACGCATCAAGGTACCGTGCGCCTCAGGAACACCGTTTAAACTGCTAGTCAACCACTATCGGTGAGAGGCTACGACTTTTGACGGCGGAGGACCTGAACGCGGGCGAGACATCGGAAATAGATTCGCCACGTTTCATCCGCGTTGGCCGACACCGTGGCGACGGTGGGCCGTTGGATTTCGTCAAGGGAACCGCGTCGGTGGGGGGGAGTGAGAGAGAGAGAGAGAGAGAGAGAGAGAGAGAGAGAGAGAGGGAGAGACGGGGTTCGGGTATTCTAAAAGGTCGTCTCTCCTTGAGCCCACTTGGAGGAGACCAAAGTCCGAAGGTCAACCCAGAAGAGTGCTATTGATGTGAACTGTTCTTTTGGGTTTTTTTGGGCTCAAACACGACTAGTTGGAAGGCCCATTCCCCGTCAGGTCCGCTACGGGCTTCGAGAAGGCCAAACCCAACATCAAGGAATATCCATGTCCTACAGCCCAGCTCACCCCCTTTTAGCCCATTTATCGCCATCGGGGCCAAGGTCGATCTCGTGCCGATAATCCGACCCCCAATCGTCGGCCCGTTAGGCCCATTTATAGGAAGACGGCCCAAGTTCAAGCAGAAGCCTATTAGCCGACTCGTGATCACTGAAACCGTTATTTTTTCAAAACGCCCCTCTTATTTTTTTGCTATTTCATTGTTGACCTTCGAGACGCGTGCACCGTGAACTATTCTACCGTTCGATAACGGTCGGTCAACGTCGGCTTCGATCAGCCCTATTTTTTCTTTTAAAATGACCATTTTGACCTGACATTGTTTCGTTTGAAAATTCCCAAAGTAACGTTTATGTGATCTCTCATTGTGTCTATTCGGGGTAATCCGCGCTAGGTACCGGTCGGCTTGTTTGTCTCCACGATAATATATACATACATATATATAAACAGGGGTAAATCGGGTTATTTACAAGGTCCTCCCCGTCGAAATTCATACTCATAAGTCCAATTTGGGAACGGTGACGTGGCCCTGGCAGCTATTCCTGCGAATACGCATCAGGGAGTATAATTCAAGAGGAAGAGACGGGTAAAAAGTCAAAGCCCAATGGCTGGATTCCAGAGAGAGAGAGAGAGAGAGAGGGACCCGTTTAGGGGCTGTCCGTCGGACACGTGGACTGTCAGAAGTGACAACACGAGCGCTTCTACGCTGTCCAGGCCCAGGCCAGGCCAGGAGCGGTAACAAGGCCACGTCCGAAATCATCGGCGAGCAACGACGAGGGGAAACTTCCAAGAAGACCAGTTCCACGCCCGACTCCGGTTTTCAGACGCGCCCTCCGTCAACGGTGAGCAGCGAGGCGCATAGCAACCGCGTGGCTGGACTACCCGATGACCGGGAGAGAGAGAGAGAGAGAAGACGGGGAAGAGAGACAGATGGAGAGTCAGAGGATCATATGAACAGGAGGAGAGGGCCGAGTGAGAGCGGTGCTCAATCTGGTTTCAATCTCGTCGCCAGTCTCCTGGTTCGCCTGGTTTTCAATCTTTTCAGAGGTTTTTCTTTGCTTTTATTCACAGGCCAGCTTGGTGTCGAAGCTGCTCAAGCAAATGGCGAAGGCCTGGAAGGCCGAGAGAGGGTACCGGTAGTCCATGGTGAACATGTCCTTGCCGACCTTCCCGAATTGGAGGATGATCTTGTCGTGTTCCGCCGGCGGCGGCTGGGACGGCGTCGGCGCTCCGGCGGCGGGCTGCCCCTCGGCGATCAGCTGGAAGTTCTTCACCGACGCAACGGTCACCCGCCCCCGGAAGTTGAGGCACCAGCACTGAAGCTGCTCGTGCCACCGCGGCGCCTTGTTCCGGAGAACCAGTGGCACTGCCTTTCCTTCCTCTTCGTCGCCGTCGCCGCCGCCGCCGCCGCCGCCGCCCCAGTCGCCGGCGACCTCTGAGAACCTCGCGCTGCCGAATTCCGACGCTCCGCTGTCGCCGGCGATAGACTTGGAGAAGGCCGCGCTGTTGAAGGACTCCTCCAGGCTGCTCCGCCGGAGGAAGCTCTCCGCCGGCGGCGCCACCGTCCCGCCGGCGCCGAGCGCCGCCGCGGGGATGGTGTACATGGTGCAGTGCATCCTGCGGGGGCCCCTCGTTCCCAGCACGTTCAGCTCGTAGGTCACTCGGGCGATGGCGTAGCTGCTCGACGGCAACTTCGGGGAGACCTTCTTCGAGTTGAATCGCCGGCTGGTCCGCCCCGCCGGTGGCAGCGCCGCCGCGCCGTGCGGCGGCTGGGTGTCGTAGATGATGAACTTGGTGCCGAGGAAGTTCGACCTGGGAGGAGGGCATTCCAAAAGCGAGATTTTTTGATCCTCTCGTTGACTTTCGATGCGACCCGATTCGGATTCAAATTCTTCAGGGCGGGGGGCGTAGGAGGATGATTCCTCACCTGAGCTTGCCGATGCAGGTGTCGCTCGACCTGGAGATGTTGTCGGCGCTCATGGAGATCACGTACTCCGTGAAGGTCGTCCGACGGCTCCTCTTCGCCGAGAGCAGGAACTTTCCGTCGTCGACGAACGCTGCGCTCAGAGAAAGACAGAGAGAGAGAGAGCAGAATGTCTCCAGCGTGAATTACCAGGATCTGACAGATCGGATGGAAGAGCAATGGATGATGATCCAGAGGCAGAAATCTATAGAGAGAGAGAGGGAGAGCTCACCGGGGCTGAGGCTGAGGAAGAGATGGTAAGTCAGGTTGGACTTGTCCCTTCTGATGAAGCACTGGATCGCATCGTCCCGGGGGCCGGGCTGCGGGGGAAGATCGAAGCAGAAAATTCAGATCGAGGAAGAAGACGATGACGATCGAAGTCAAAAGCAGCAGGAGGAGAAGTGGTGGAGCACGCACCAGTTTGAGGGAGATGGGGAAGGTGAGCTTCCCGGAGAACTCGGGGCTTCTAACGATCTCCTTGCACATCTCCCTCCAGGCCCTGCAGACGCCGGCGCAGGCGACGACGTGCTTGCGGGAGGGCCAGGAGCTCTCGCTCTGCTCCAGCCGCTTGATGACATCGCGCAGAAGCTCCGGCGGGAGGCTCGCCCACTTGCTGTGCTGGACCACGACGGAGTTGTCCTGGAACTGGTGGACGGAGCTCTGCGATTTCCCGCGGGGATGGCCGAAGTGTATGACGTCGAAGCTCCGCCGCGAGAGGCTTCCGAAGCTGTCCCTCACGTCGCGGACGATGCTACGGAGCGACATCTGAGCAGAGGAGGCCGAGGAGCGAGATCGCACCACGGAATCCCTGCCACCCCCAGAGGCATCAAAGTGGGAAGAATACCGAGAAGAATCCCCCATTCTCAGAGATGGAGCTGTAGAAGAGCAAGCCACGGGGGACGTTCTGGTGTCAGATCGCGCTGCCTATGGTTGATTACCATTAACAATTCATGGAGCAGTCGACGAACTAGGGTTTTCGGGAACTGATCTGCTGAAGGTACGCAACAAACCCAAGAAGGAAGGGGGGGCGAGAGGAGAAAAGTCCAATGCCGTAGTGAGAAAAAATGCAGCAGCGCGAAGCGGTCCACGGTTGACCCAAAAACGAGGAAGAACGGGGAAGAGACGGCACCGGGACCTCTCCGAACGAAGAAGAAATCGAGATCGATCGAGCGCAAACAGTTTTTTTTCGGAGAAGATTTTATCGAAGAATTGCCGCGGAGATCTGGAGGGGAAATCATCTGAAACGCGGATTTCACGAGGGATGGCGGGAGCAGCTTTCCATCTGCCGTCGGGGAGAAGGAGGAGAAGAACCATGGGCGCTAGGATCCTCGCGAGGAACCAGACTGAAGAAACCAAAGAAGAGCTGAGAAAGCCCCTACGAAAGAGAACCACGGCGGACCGAGCAGTTTCAGACAGAAAAACTGCCGCCCAAAAGCATCTCCCTGTGAGATCCTCAGGGAGTTCCCCGGAAGGGAAAAGAAAGGCCAGATTCCACGGATCTGAGGCCCAAACACGAACAAGCAAGCTACCAGGAGAAGCCACCGAAGAATCTCTCACCTTGCAGCGCCCGAGGCCCCCTCAAGACAGCTCGCGGAGGACACACCAGGCCAGCTCCACCGCCGCCCCCCACCTTCCTCTTCTTCTTCTTCTTCTGCCTTCTTCTCCAGTTGCTCCCCCTCTCTCTCTCTCTCTCTAGGGACGGGGCAGGAAATCCAATCCACTGCAGGGAGGGGAAAGCGAGGGGAGAGCGACCAAGGGCAAGGGAAATAAATATTTTCTTCTCTGTTCACGCGAGATTCAACGACACCTCTACCGTCTCTCTCCGCTACGGCCTTTGACTAACGGAGAGCCGGCGCCGTGAGACGACTTATCCTCTCCGCCCGGAAGCTTCTGGGAACCTTACGAAGTCGTCCCGCTGACGCCCCAACCTCCCGATTGCACGCTCCGTCGGAAACCTCACCGCCGACACCGGCACAGCGGCGCTCGCCTGCCACGGGTGGCTATTCCGCCGCCAGCGTTTTTGAATGGGCGATAATGCCAGAGGGGGGAGGCTCAATACTCTCTCTCTCTTTTATTCTATTTATCTACGGCCTCAGATTGACGAAGAAGACAAGTGGGGGGGAGGGGGGGGGGGGGCGGCGGCGCGGATAGAGAGGCGTTCGAGGGCCATGAGATTGGAGGCGAGCACGAGCGGGGCCCGCCTTTGCCTCTATCGGGAAATGTCAAAACCGGGAGGACCCCGCGTGGTGTCACCGTCGACGGCGACGGCCGCCATTGTGGGCCCAGAAGGTAGTCAAAGTGGTGATGGGCCCAGGTGAGCCGCGGCAGCCCCTCAACGCCATTAACAACAAATAAAATGGGCCTTTGGTGAGACCAGTAGAGGAGATGCGACCAAGACCGACCAGGTATGAATGAGAGCGTACTCCACGGCCCAGACCACGTCCTCTAGCCCAACCAAGTGGCCCTATGAATCTTTGACCTGGCCAAATCTTCCACATGGCACCTTCACAGTCGAGCACACGACGTAGAAAGAGAGCGAGATAGAGGAGAGAGAGGGTTGAAACAGAGAGAAGGGGAGGGAGACAGACAGAGACAGAGACAGAGAGAAGGGGAGGGAGACAGACAGAATTAGAGACAGAGGGAGAGGGAGGGAGAGAGAGAGAGACACACACACACACACACAGACATACAGAGTTAGAGACACACAGAGAGGAGATAAAGTTGAGACAGAGAGAGAAGGGGAGGGGGAGAGAGAGAGAAAGGAAAGGGAGAGAGACAGACACAGAGAGAGAAGGAACGCGAGAGAGGGAGACAGACAGACAGAAAGAGGAGAGTGAGAGAGGCAGTTAGAGACAGAGAGAGGAGAGAGACAGAGTTGAGTCACGGAGAGTGTGTGTGTGTGTGTGAGAGAGAGAGAGAGAGAGAGTTAGAGACAGAGTTGAGTCACAGTGAGGAGAGTGAGAGAGAGAGACAGGGAGGGAGAGAGACAGTCAGAAACAGAGAGAGAAGGGGGGGGGAGAGAGAGAGAGAGAGCAAGAGACAGACAGACAGACAGAGTTTGAGACAGAGAGAGAAGGGGAGGGAGAAAGTTAGAGACAGAGAGAAGGGGAGGAGAGTGAGTGAGTGAGTGAGTGAGTGAGAGAGAGAGAGAGAGAGAGAGAGAGTGAGGGAGGGAGAGAGACAGTTAGAAACAGAGAGAAAAGGGGAGGGAGAGATAGAGAGCAAGAGACAGACAGACAGACAGAGTTTGAGACAGAGAGAGAAGGGGAGGGAGAGAAGGGGAGGGAGAGAGTTAAAGACAGAGAGAGGGGAGGAGATAGAGCGAGAGAGAGAGAGAGTTAGAAACAGAGAGAGAAGGGGAGGAGATAGATAGAGAGAGAGAGAGAGAGAGAGTTAGAGACAGAAAGAAGGGGAGGGGGAGAGACAGAGAGAGAAGAGGAGGTAGAGAGTTAGAGACAGAATGAGAAGAGGAGGGGGAGAGAGAGAGAGAGAGAGAGAGATGACTAAAGAAAAAGAGAAACTATCACATTGCTATGTATTTGGTGTAAAATGAGACAAGGATGGGAAAGATCTCAAGAGGGGATATATATACAGAAGCTAAGAACGTCACCTGCATCAGCAGAACCTCAGAGTCGCTTCGAGCTCCTTCTCATCGTCGCAGTTGTAGCCCAGGAAGTACGCCCGAGCTGATAGACGGGCACAAGGAAGCAAAAAAGTCAGTCTGCGCAGGAATGAAGGCCAGAGCAGCTGGCCATACAGTTCCTGCCCGTTGGGCGTAAAAGTCAACGTTTTAGAAAAGGAAGAACCAATCATGGTGAAACAAGCCAGCTTTAATAGATGAAGGCTTTCTTGTCTGAGGAGGATAAAGTGGGGCCCTTGTAATCTAGGACGAGGGTCTGGGTAGGGTGAAAAGTTTACCTTTTTTGGGTTTCACTCGGGTGTCAATGGGTGTAAGCTCATATAGGCTCAGGTCCGCTCAGAGAGGGGGAGAGACAGAGATGGGCACAGTCAAAGGCAGGAGAGGGGTCCAGGGCTATTTTTCTTTCTAGACTATGATCTCTGAAACCACTCATGGATCCACCAGGGTGGGTTTCAACCAAGCAACCAAAGAACTCTGAACGATTCGGCTAGATCTTGAGAAAAAACAGACGCCTCATTCGAACATGAAATGTGTATGCATCGCTACTGCAGTGCAAATGAATCAACATATAGTAAAAAAGAGGCTTGTGTTCTTACCAAATCGGCCAGATCCCATGAAGGGCTCAGCTTCATCCGCCGCCTCCCCCTGTTCCTGAAACCATGGGGAAAGGTGGAAGGTGAGGCAACTCTTCATAAAGAATAACTGATAGTTCAGTGCAAATAAAATTTAAATGAAGCGTCCTGCATGTGCTGGCCCAGTAATGTATAACTAGCCAAGAACAATGTTTCAGGCATCAAATGATTGATAATATGTGTTTCAATTTTTAGTACGTTTGCGCAAGAATGCCGAAGCGTCATAAGACTGCAAAGTGAAAGACGAAATGATGATTCTAAAAGTCCTCTTCAAAGATCAAAACATCTTGCATGAGAGATCAAAGAAAAGAAGAGCGAGTTCAGGCATATTATACTGACCGTATTTAATTCATTATCCGAGGAGAGCCAACTGTCAAAAACATGACCAGAAATGGTGCATACAAAATGCCCATTTAATTGATCCAGAACAATTTCACGACACATATCATCGCATACTGCACCATTATGCAACCACAACCACGTCATGAAGAGAAAAAGAGAAGTGAGAATGGTAAAGTATGTATTATGATCTATACCATGAACACGCCCTGTCTTCTCACAAAGGAAAACATCACCAATGTGTGTATAAGTGCACGTATCTCCGGAGCAAGCATGATCACCGATCAATTCATCAGTTAATCCTCTGCTGCTTTTCCAAATGGAGACTTGCTCCGCCACTGTTTTGTCAAGCATCACGCTATCATCATACACCTTCAAAATAAACATAAGAAAAATGGGTTCCCACAATATAGCGGAAAAACAATAAGATCTTACAAGAAAAAAATTTGAATAGGATCGTTTCTATACTTGGGATGGATGAGGAGCTTGGCTTCTCTTCGCCGCCTGCATTTGGATGTAGTACTCCCTAAACTCTGAGGGGGAATTCCTGATAAAGTGGACCATATCTTCTTGATCACGCTGCAAAAAAGGCAAGGTATTTCAAGATGCGGGTAGATTAACAGTTAACTGTGCAAGGTGAGCTTGAAACTGAGCAAATATTTGGTTCCCAAAATCTCACCTCATGAAGAAATGAGGTCATCGGATCAAACCTACCAGTTCCATAAACGGTAGGAAGAGATGCCATGAAATCGTCCCCAAAACCACAGGGCCATTCAAATCCAGGAGTTCAGATCAGCTCCAAAGTTTGGTCGTTTCCAGACTATTCCCCGAAAGATATACTTCCTAATTTTAAAATAAATCTACAAACTATTTATATCCTTATGCAGTTCGCAACCATGAATTGTGTATATACTATAGCGTTTGGGATAAAAAATCATAACCCAGAAAAAGGCTGCAGCGTATGAACTGAGAAACAAAGAAAAAACCACATAAATGAAATGTACGTGAATTAAAAAATAATCTGAGTTACAAGTAGATGGGCAGGTCTGTAGCTGTATGAATAATCAAAGAAACAAGAGATAGTTTAACAAAGAAAAGACGGTAGTCATGATTCCTCAACTCGCAATGTCAAAACAGATAACGAAGACTAGTAGGTTGCTTAACGCTTGAACAAAAATCATAAACTACTCCTGTCAAGACAAGTTGTGAGATGTAGAATTATATAATAATTTTTACTGCCAAATGAATTTTCTCTAAGCGAAAATTCATGTCCACTACACAGTAAATTAGGCCCTTACGACTGTTACCACTAAATTAAAGCAGAGATAGCCACGCACAATTTTCCACTCGAGGAAGGAGTTTAAGAGAACGACACGTTTAGGATATCTTGATGATTAGCCATTATCTAAAGCGCTCAAAACTTTATGAGCAAACCCTGCTATTTTCCTATCTCGAGCATTTTGTAAACTAATTGCACGTAAGGTACGTATTCCATGCACATGAATGCCCACCCTTCATAGCAGGCAGTTCTGAACTGCATACCTGAATGTAGAGCTTCTTCCACGGGCACTGACGTAGTTTTCCAATCCGAGATTCTATACCCCATCGTATACAATACCTGCAACCCACCAAGTTCACACTGAATTACACACCATGGGATGTCAAAACTAATAAGATTAAGCAAAATAAGTGTTTGAGTATATAAAAACGGAAAGAAGCTCGGAGAACAGAGAGGAAGGACTTACAGGCGGTGCCAGAGGCACTCATCGGAGGCAGCAAAGTTCATTAGCTTGCATGCTAGGGAGCATGAAATGAGGTCCTACCACACCAGAAAAACATTCATCCAATCAATAGAAAACCACAACTAAAATAAAAAAATTCAATAACATATAACTTTGAAAAAGAAAGATAAAAAAGAGGGGTATTTTTTTCTCTAAAGCGCAGAGGGTGGGCAAAGAAGGGTGAGCAGAGAGAAGAAGATGAAGTAGACCTCTGAGGAGAGGAACTTGAAGATGTGGCGGAACAGCTCCGGGGGTATCCTGCTGAAGAAGCCGGTCTCGATCTGCAACACCGCCTTGCCTTTGTCGGGAACCGCCTGAGGCAGAGAAGAAGGCATCGGAGACGACTCCTCTTGCTTCTCCCCCAAGCGAGGCCTCTTCACCGGCAGAACATCATCCTGCGACGCCAATTCCGCCCACCCACGAGTTAGACAACAGATCGAAACCTAAATTCCGAATAAACAGATAATGGAGAAGTCGGACCTCTACGGAGAGGATCTCGGACTCGAGAAAATGCGCGAGCGTCTCGTCCTCCTCCCCAGCCCCCGCATCCTCACCGATGTCGCCGGATGAGGACATCGCCGGAACCCTAGAAAGGTCCCGCCGGCAGCCCCAGGATGGGAGAGCACAAGCAAGCGCCACAGGCAAACGTACAAGCTGCTACAGGGGGCCCACCTCGGCTGGCCCCCCCCCCCCGACCCACCCGCCCTTCTCCGCCACGTCAAGGGAAGGGTTCCCTAATCCACGTCATCAGTCCTCCCCACACGTGGCTACATATCGAGGAGAAGAACACACGTATCACCGTGGGTCGAGAAGCCAGGTGGACCAATGGCCCAAGGCCATCTCTCCACGTGGCCCCTCTTCCAAGTTTTCCTACGTGATTGGGCCCAAAACATTCCAAGTGGGCCCATCAGGCCTGTTCCTTCCATCAGATCGATCAGCGTGCCATCGACTTACAAGATCTCTTTAATATGCCTTTACTTCATGCGGAGACACAGGCATATTAAGAGTCAACGAGGCGTCTGTAAGTCAACACAAATGAGGACTCTATCAAACCAAAACACCCCCCCCCTCCCCCCCTCCGCCCGGCGGCGCCGCCGCGCTGGAGGATTGCAGGCAGCTGGCGCAGCTGACCGTTGACTACCGCCGCATCGAGCAGCAAAATCATCTCATGAAAGGCACCGACTGCGTAAAACAAAAGGGTAGATACTTTTTCATCCACACGAGAGGGAGAGGGAGAGAATGAGGGGGAAGATCTGCCCAAGAAAGTCAATACGGTCTGAACCAATCTGAATCGAACGGGAATAATAGCGGCGCTGACTATTCATAACCCGCAGCTTCTACAGAATGGCGCAGCACTGATTGGTCTTCTTGGCCTGCTTGTAGAACATCTGCTAGCCAAGAACCAAACTAGGGTCAAATACGGAAGATAAATAGAAACCACATGGATGACTGAGGGAATATTTACCCGTTTATAGAAAGGAAAAAAAACCCAAAATTTATAAAAATAAATTTTGCATGAAATCATCAAACCCTGATTGAAGAAGGCTGACTGAGATCTGTTCCTGTTACCTGAGATGCAGCGCTCAGATCCGAGCTCTTCTCGACCAGGCTATCCAGCTTTTCTCCTCGAGCAAGAACACTGTCAATGGTCTTGTGCTGCAACACAGGGAAAGAGTCGTCCCTCGTCAGCAGCATATCATTTACAGGCTGGAACTATTTCTTTGATGAGTAGTAATCTACGTCTTTTGACTTTTTTTCTTTTTCGTGTATGAAAGAAAATTAAGGAAATAATTTGCGTTCCTAGGGTCCTCTTGGGCCTCTAGATTACTGAAAGAATTCGGGAGTTTGACTAAATACCAAGTTCTATTTAATAAAGAAGTTGACTCCCCGACGTGATAGGTCAAGGATGGATTACGAAATCACTCACAAGGATGATTTTTGTTTGGTCCAAATCCCTCTGTATTTTGAGCAGCTTGTCGGCCTCCGCAGGGTCCTGGACAAAAATAGACGGTGACCCAGAACAAAATCCTTCGCAAAGAATTCAAATGGGGAAAAAAAAAAAGGCCCAGATTTCAAAGCTTCATTTTTATGAAACATAAATGCATCCAACTATAAACTCTTAACAATAATGGTTTATCATTCTAGAATAATTAGATCATTGCTACAGCATCCACTGTGGGTGTCACCTACCTTTAACGGTAGCAAAGCTCAGCACCTCTCTCTCTCTCTCTCTCTCTCTCTCTCTCTCTCTCTATATATATATATATATATATCCTCCGGGTAATATTTCTCCTAAGCTCCGGCAAAATGCTGAGTATAAACTTCATGATCCACTCATCTAGTCTATGGTTTTAACTTTCTTGATGAAACGTAAGGAGGCATGCACAACGGTGATCCTTTTCCAATATATGAAAACACACACACACAGACCAGAGACTAGAAGAACAAGAGATACCTGAAACTTGGTGAGAGCATCGTTCAAGTAGGGCCAGGGCTGAGTGACATCAGCCCGTGCTGTTCTCCAGGACTCACCAAAGCTCCTCTGGTACTCATCAAGTACCTGCAGAATGTTTAGCCATTTGTGAGCGTTTCTGACGCAGGCAGAGAAAAAAGAGAACAAAAGGCGGCTAGATCAACATATCCGTTAAGAAACATAGTGGTCGAGAGATTCTTAACCTTTTTTTTATAAAAAAATGAATTTTTTAAAATGCAAATTTTCAAAGGAAAAAAAAAAATCACAAGTAAATGGAGATGAGATTATCTATCTAATAACAAAGGATTCCCAACAGGATGCTGTTAAAGAAGCAATAACTCGTCAAGTATTTTCTCTCAAGAAACAGTCAACTCCAGTTACACCTGAGCGGCCAATAATCCCATGACTAATGAATTTCACCTTTTTCAATTGAATAAAAATAAATATCACACGTCAAATACCTGCATTTTCATTAGATTATGGAACGAATAATGCAACAAAAACGCATCATTGTGATCATAATTAAGTACATCTGATACATCATCTCCCATCAAAACATATGCGTATTATGTACCCACTACAGGGAAAGTTTCTCCCACATGCCTAGAACACGATCAATGGCTTCAAAGATATTTTAGGTACATCAATGATCCCAAGGTTCCTAAAATGGTAGAGATGCCCGTTTTTCTCAAAATAGCAGACTTGATCACTCTTCTCCCCAGACACAAGCAAACAAAGAATGCTATCCGTTGAACAATCTCACATAGAATCATACAATTATCTGCTCGCTTGACCTTTGCCAAGTCTTGTCCATAAGCAAAAATGATGGATAGAAAAGTCAACTTAAGAATCTCAATGCAAACAGAATCGCTACTAGCTAATGAATTACAATGCATCAATCCGATCTAAAACTTTCTCTTTGCATCTTTTCGGAGGCAAGAAGTTGGCAGACTAGTCAACCAGGGAACTCATAATTGCTATAAATGAAGTGCTCGGTCAATGCTACAGAGGTCATTCGATCATTCTCTCAATATGAAAATGGAAAAGAATCGAACCTTGTTGAGGAGGGAGAATGCACTCCGCACAGGATAGTGATCGTCCATGAAGGCCAACGCACAGAGGCCATTCCTATTGTAACAATGAACCTTGTATTCTGCAAAGGAAAAAAGCAAAAATATAGTTTTCAAATGTTCCTGCCTCAGAGAAACGTGAATGCCCCACTTAAAAATGGTAAAAGACCCAATAAATATCTCATTCCCATTGAAAAAAAACACTCAGCAAGATGTATAAAATTTGCAAATTATGTTCCTCGGCTATGAAATTTCCTCTGCAGGCGTATCACAAAGAAATTTCACATTGAATGATCCTCCAAATATTAGAGAAATGCTACATAGGAGCTCAGCTCAACAAAATTGATCGTAAGACGTGATAGCAAATGAGCGATACGTCCTCCAAACGTTCTAATGGTCCAGTTCCAGACAAACCGCTGCACCATAAGCATGAACTCGGTAAAATGATCACTAATTGGGAATTTTTCCATCATTTCCTAGATAAAATCAAGAGATGATGTAGTGGCGAACAGAAACGGGACGGGGGCCATCCACCCGCCGACGCAAAATTGTTTGAAGATGAATAAACTTCAGAGGAAAGGTTGCGAACCATTGTCGACGGTCTATAATTTAGAAGGATTGTATAAAAATCAAGATCTAGGTAATATAAAACATGAAGAGATTAGATCTGCAGGCACCAAAAGCCTAATCATTGGGTGGAAGATATTAGGGACGCGCATCGAATCAAACGCTAAAAGGAGATCCGGAGCAAACCTTCATGCTGGACAGACTGCCGCTGACCCGGGGGAGTCCTCTTTGCCACAGTGCGCGCGACGAACAGGATAAACTCCCTGGCAGCAGTCCGCTGGAAATATCCAAAGTGGCCGACGTCGGTGGCGTTCGCGAGGACGAGCGAATCTGACTGCCCCGATGATGAAGCTTCTCCGGAGCCCGCCGGTTTCATGACTAGGAGCGCCGTGATCTTCATCGCTGCAGTGCCCTCTTCGGCCGATCCCCCCCCTCCCCTTCTTCCCTCTTCTGCCCCTTCCCCGAGAACAGAAACGCTCAGACGAGAATGAAGGGACACTTTCAGAGAGCGAAGAGCGAATAACCCCGCATACAAAGAGGGAGATCCACGCGTCCGGGCAACGCGAATAAAAGGCACGGCCGCCGCAGTTTCCTTCTTGACTAAGGCGCGGCAAGAAGCCGGCAGGGGGGTAAAGAGAGAGATCCCTTCGAGGGCAATTTTGTCCACAAACTGAAACTGTCAAGTCATGACTAGAAAAGTATATTTATCATAAAAAACAGCCCAATTGATTACGCCCTGTACGAAAATACTCTCAGCATCCCAAGCATTGCCTCTAACACGATTCTCATGTTTCATTTAAATAGTAGAAAATAAATAGTAGAATATACTACAGATGAAGAAACTCGAAGGCACATTTACGTGTACAAATTAGAAATTCGGATAGGAAACAAAGAGAAGATAATGGACGCGGGGATATAACTGCGGCACGGAATTCCTTAACTGAAGATCGCCAATACATGAGGTTAGTTTCCGCGAATCCTTTACAACGAAACGGGAGTGGTGGAAAGCCTGATCTATATCCTAAGTCAGTCGAAACTGGAACCCCCTAACGGCGATTCTCCCAAATCAAGCCCTCTCACCGCGGATCCGGCGAGCGAGTTGGATGTCCTTGGGCATGATGGTGACGCGCTTCGCGTGGATGGCGCAAAGGTTGGTGTCCTCGAACAGCCCCACAAGGTAAGCCTCTGCGGCCTCCTGCAGCGCGGACACGGCGGTGCTCTGGAACCGGAGATCGGTCTTGAAGTCCTGGGCGATCTCCCGGACCAGGCGCTGGAACGGGAGCTTACGGATCAACAGCTCCGTGCTCTTCTGGTACTTGCGAATCTCCCTCAGGGCCACGGTTCCGGGGCGGAAGCGGTGGGGCTTCTTCACGCCACCGGTGGCCGGAGCGGACTTCCTGGCCGCCTTGGTGGCGAGCTGCTTCCTGGGAGCCTTGCCCCCGGTGGACTTGCGAGCCGTCTGCTTCGTGCGCGCCATCTCTCTGAACGATGATAACTCCCGAGCTTTCCTATGAATTTCTCGAATGCTTCGTCGTTATAATCCAGAACAGTATTTATCGAGGTGAGGGGAAGGCGGGAAGCCGCGGATCCCCGGAATACTCGCAACGCGGTTGAAACCGACCCGTCCGATTCATTTTCCTTGGACGGTCAAGATTCATTCCAAGCGCAGCCAGCACGCGGATCGCCAAATTTCCCCTTCCCTCCCCTCCGCCCTCTTTCTGGAAAGCCGTCTTAGGAATTTGATTTCTGGGGACTCCTCCAACCAAACGGATCCGATTACCCACTCAGTGGGTCCCGATCCGGTTATCCCAACCTCTTCTACTATCTATCCAACACGTGGCACTCAAGGCCCGCCCCGAGCCCTCGCATTAGGATCTGGCGGGGGCTACACGTGTCGACTTCTTTATTTTTCAAGGACGTGCGCTCAACTTTCCGATTTTATTCTAAAAGTAATTGTTCAAAAAAAGGGTTCCCTTTTTGCTATCAGCAGCAGTAAAGACTATTACAGTGTGGGCCGGGCCAGCCCAGAAATTCGGCCCGGTACATAACACCGTCCACACGTACTGCGCCTCCTCCTCACCTCTACTCACCTGCCAAGCCAACCTCCTTGGGCCTAGGGCCGGATACTACTCGGCCCGGCCCGTCAACGTTAAATCGATTAAATAAATAAGCCCCTGGCTTTTTAATGTGCAAAGCACGTGATTGATCTTTTCTTTCAAAAAATAAAAGTGGAAACAAATTGTCAAACGGCGTTTCCCATCATTTCGCACACGAAATGGAAGCGAGCTCCGCCGCCACTAGCACGATGCATGTCGCCGACGCCTCCGGCGGAGCGAGGGGAGCCATGTTGCTCGTTGTCCGAAAGGGTCAAGGGATCGTAGCTCGAACACTCTCTCTCCTATTTCCAGGCCATGCCGCGACAAGCCGTCAACTTTCTCGGGTGGGGCCCATTTCTCCACTGGGGCCCCACACACAAGAGTAGATTTAATTGGAACTAACAAGCCGCCGCCCACTTCGCGCCGTCAGAACGTTGATCGCGGCGTTGTTACGGGAAGGTAATTGACGATCCGACGGTGGAGATGCGATGGACCCATCGAAGGCTGCCGAATGGGGTTCACCTCGGATTCCCATTTTCTCCAGACCGCGGCCACTTGGCCACAAGCCACCGGTGATTATACGCCCGACCATACTTGTCAGCTGTAACCCTCCCCTCATTAGGCTACGCTAAGTACGAGATTTACACGTGGACCCACCGGTGAAACCGGGCTAGGGGTCAGTACCCGAACCTGTAATTGACGAGGAAGCCTTCGTGTGGGAGCGGCGCGACGGCCGGCAGCGGCGGCTGGTGGCGACCTACGCCGGCGTCTGCGGCATGTTTGTGGTGGTGTTCGGTGAGGAGGCATTGCCGGCACGTGGGGCATGAGGCGTGCGCCGTCAGCCAGCGGTCTATGCACTTCACGTGGAAGCCGTGGCCGCAGTTGGGGAGCACCCGAACGCGCTCCCCGGCGGTGAACTCTGACAGGCAGATGGCGCACTCGCCGCCCACGAGCTTCAGGCCGGTGGAGTACGTCGACGTGGGGAGCGATCTCAGAGCCTTCTTCTTCACGCCAGCGTTCGAGGCGCCGCCGCCGACGAAGCTTCGGAAGTTGACCCGATCCGAGCAGCGGAGGGCGCAGCGGACGAAGGAGTGGAGCCCCAGAGCGCATATCATGGCGCAGAGGAGGACGGCGAGGATCATGACCACGTTGCCGTCGAAGCTCCCCGCCGGTGAACCGGAGTCCGGCGGGCTCGGGACCTCGCCGGCGCCGGCGGTGTGGAGAGGGCTCTCCAGCTGCATCCTCCTGGCCAAAGAGCGTAGTGAAGAGGAAGCCATAGGTTGTGGGGGGGCGGTTGGGGTAGAGGAGAAGGACAGCCCGCCAACAGATACTTGGGTGAAGAATGATCACCAAGAGGCCGGCCGCGTTTCTTATTAACAACGTTATCGCTATCGGTACGCTGTACCTGCAATTCTAAATGAACCGGCCGTGGACCGGCCCCAGAGATACCTTCGATTGGATTGGGTGGCCGGGTGGAGCAAGTGCCCGACGGAGAGTGCTTTCGTTGCACCGTGGTACATTTTAAATCCGCCGGCAGTGGTTGGAGTAGATTGTTGGGATTATCTCCGACTAATCAAAGGGTCCATCGTGCTCCACGCAATTAAAATGTGGAGCCCACAACAAAATTGAGAGGCTCAAACCCTTTCGAGACCTCGCGGGCCCGTTCGCAGCCCGGTTGCATTTATGGTGTCGGGCCGATCCGGTCCGGTCGGAGCTAGTGGGCAGTTGAGCCGTCGGACAGCGATGTCCGTACAAATCTCCAGATATGTATCAGGGTAACAACGCTAGAGATGACGTGTCCCACTGACCATTGCCTGCCCCGCTTGCCGGGTCCACGAGCAAGCCACGTCACGAGTTGGGAGATTTGGGCAGTAAATCCATCCGAGAACAATCACGGGCTTTATTTAGAAGGCCCATTAGAGGCCCATTATGTTCTGGAACCGGTTATCTATTTTTTTCCTCGGTCGTCTTGTCTATACATGCTAATGGTTAGAGGCCGGCGAAGCCGCCGACGGCCTTCATGAGCCCGAAAGTGACCGCCATGGCGAGCCACCCACCGGCCACCACCCGGGCGGCGGACCTTCCCGCCGGCACGCCACCGAGCACGGCGCCCGCGACGCCGAACGCCACCAGCGCCGCCGTCGCCGCCGCCGAGACGACCCCCAGCCGTAGGCGATAGCTCCCGATGAACCCCGCCGCCAGCAACGGCACCGCGGCCCCGACCGAGAACGCCATGGCGGAGGCCGCCGCCGCCTGCGCAGGGACCGGCAGGTCGCTCCGCCCGCCTTCGTCACCGGCGGCGGCGCCGCCGCTGCTCGCTCTCTCCCTCGCCATCTGCGCGAGCTCCACGTCCACCTGGGAGTGAACGGAGACGAACTCTCCGATGGCCATGCTGCAGGCGCCGGCGACCAGGCCAGCAAAGCCGGTTAGGACCATGGATTTGACGTCGGTCTTGACGGCGCCCACCCCCACCATCATCGACGCCGTCGAGACGAGGCCGTCGTTGGCGCCCAGCACTGCTGCACGCAGCCATTGCGCCCTCTGAGAGTAGTCAAACTGCTGCTTCTCCTTCAGGTCCTCCCCGCCGCCGCGGCCGCGGCCGTCGATGGTGAGCTTGCTCTCCGTGCACGCCATGGAAGAGGGTGAGAGAGCAAGTGTGGGTGCCACACACCTCGCCGGGAGTTGGGAAGGGATTTATAGGGGCCTCGGTTGCACTGTAGGTGTGGATGCTGATCGATCCTCCACCACCCTGCCGCTTGGTTTAACACTGTGGAACGATAGATGAGCTCTCCTTCCCTACCTCATCCCCTCTCTCTCTCTCTCTCTCTCTCTCTCTCGCTATCAATCTATCTATCAATCAATCAAACTATCTATCTATCTATATCTCTAATGGCCTCTCTTCCTCCACTGACCGGTAATCGGTACATGTCGATACATTCCAATGCTTCCTAAAGAGATTCGGATGATATATTCGTCGGAGCGCCGTCTAGGGTGCAGTATTCATCCGCTTCGCCTAGTACCAAGACACTGGTATTGCTCTCCCACAACCCCGTTTTCACGGTTTAGGCTGCTCCCATTTCGCTCGCCGCTACTACGGGAATCGATTTTGCAGATGTCCATTACTTCAGCTCAAAGCTGATAGGTTTTGATCTGAACCCGTAGCAGAAACCCTAACGGACTCCGTAAGGTAGATCAATGCATGAACCCCGCCTCTCTCTCTCTCTCTCTCTCTCTGATTCTATATCGTCCACATGTTAACCGGAAATGGAAGAAGACCAGGATGAGATACCTACGGCACCAATGAGGCCACTCTTGACGTCTCTCGAGAGAAAGACGAAACCCCAAAGCATGGCAGTTGCAACAGACCCACAGCAAAAGACAGCTCCTTCCCGGGTGAAGGGACGAGGACACAGCAAGCTATAGACAACACAGCAACCTCTCTCTCTCTCTCTCTCTCTCTCTCTCTCTCTCTCTCCTCTTGGGGGGGAACCAAGGGGCTGGGGGATTCTCGTGGATTGCCTAGTAGATCAGCACTCTCCAGCGACGCCCGGAAAAGTGGGAGGGTGGTCTGGAGATGGGGAGAGAGAATGCGTTCCACACAGCGGCCATTCACACTCTGCACTTTGTTATCCTGGGAGAGCGGCGCCGGCGGCGGCGATGGCGGGAGGAAGGTAAAATGTCGGAACAAAATGTCGACATTATCTTCTTCCTTTCGCTCTTGCTCTCCCAAAGAATGGCTGCGCCGGAGACAGCGTTTCCCATCGCCGACTCGGCCGCAGAGAAAGAAGAGTATCCCCAAACAGGGGAACCTCGAAGAAACAGAGACCCCCGCTTCAAGCAGTGGCGACAGAGACGATGAGGCTCCTGGTTGGGGGGCCATCGCTCTCACTCACTGGTTTGCCATCAAGAGAGAGAGACTTACCACCGACCGATAAATGGAATGCATTCCATGGAAATGCGGATCCGGAAAACATTCCTCTAGAAAACATTCCAAAAACAGACGTAGGTACCAGACTTTAGATATTTCTCATTCTCGGCCTTTCCCAACTGCGGAATGCCCTTCTATTTCCCTCCCATCCTCTCTCTCTCTCTCTCATCAAAGACGACTGCCGCGGAATGCCTTCCCAGACTGAGAAACTGACAAGTTCCCTCTACAGGGCCGGAGTCAGAGTGGGCCTCCTTTTTGCGGTATGAACACGTCCACAGCCCAATAATTCAGGCCCATAGTCTAATAAGTCTGCAGGGTAGTAGTCAGAGTGGGCCTCCTTTTTTGCGGTTATGAACACGTCCACAGACCAATAACGCAGGCCCATGGTCTAATAAGTCGGCCCACATGAGCCCCATAACATTCGTTGTCACATAAGAGTTATTGTACGAGGTCTACAAGGTCCACATGCTCTACAAGGCTCTCATTTTAGCCCAATATCAGCAGCCCAGTCAATGTATCAGCCCAATAAATTTTGGGCCACGCCTATGTTGCCCGTTTTGTACGACATAGGATGACGTGGGGTGGGCCCGGATGCCGCGCAACAACCCCGATCTCTCTCAACGCTGATTGGTTGGTCCCGCATCGCATCAAGAGGGTGGCGGCGGCGGGAGCTCATTATTTCCTCTCTGACCGAAGACCGGCAGTTGGGGGGCCGTTGGACAAAAAATACATATATCCTCAAATAATGAGCATAAATGCAATTTATAGTAATATTAACCGCTCAATTACTCGAGAAAACGAGGTCGCAACTTGCCGGGCCTCGATCAGCAGAAGATTTGCAAACGTGGATTGCCGCGAGGGGGGGGGATTAAATCGAATCTAATTGATATCTCAGCCCACTCGAGAATTAAATCGAAAAATAATCTATTTAATTATTTATTCAATAAATATTTGTATTAATGAACTATCCTATGATTGATAATGGGCCAAATTGGGTATTGCCACTAGGCCCATAATTTAGTAGGCCCACGAGAGAGAGAGAGAGAGAGAGAGAGAGAGAGAGAGAGAGAGAGAAGGCCGGTGCACGGAATGAACCGGACTGGTAAATGCTGATTCGACGATGGGCGAGAAAGTCAACGAGATACGGCATCTTTTGGACGGCAGCAGCGGCAGCAGCGGCAGCAGCGGCAGCAACATGCTTGGCACGTGAGACGACGCGTTTTGGTGTTGTGATTACCGCAGAGGACGTGGTTTCAGTCTCACCGCCCAGAGGGCGAGGGAGGGACCTGCGGATTCGTGATTCAAGGGCAAGTGACGGCATCGCGCTGGAATCGGGCCCACTTTTGGGCCAACAGCGACGTGTCCCGCCTGCCGGGTTTCACGTCAGCTCTCGGGGATTAATTTTGACTAATCTACGCCAGTGCGCGCGTGTCGGCGCCGGCGTGGGGTGGTTTAGGAGGATAGGATGCGCCGCGGGGCATCGGTGGGATTATTTTATACTTTCGAGGAATCGGACGCACATGCGCCATTTTGACTACAGAGAGAGAGAGAGAGAGAGAGAGAGAGTCAGGTGGGGGGGGGGGGGCTTTGAAGTCCCACCCTTCACCGCGTGTCGTCGGGTTTCTCCTCATCTTCTGGTTCGTCTTCGATCCAATGCAGTCGACGTCAATTAATCCATCTCCACCGTCATCTACGTTTCCCTCTCGTCCATCTTCATCGGTTGCTCCCACAGCGAGCCTCATCCATGGATCCCAATATGCTCCCCTCCAACCCCCGATTTGGGCGCTACCCGTCCTCGTCGTTTGCGGTCGATCCGGCGCCGGCGTTCGCTGCGCAGCCGGCGTTCACTGCACAGCCGGCGCGCGGCGCCGGCCACCGGCGGGCTCACTCGGAGACTGTGCTCCGCATTCCGGATGACATCCTGTTCGATTCCGATCCGGACTTTGGATTCGGCGACATCGAGCTGCCTTCTCTGTCCGATGACAACGGATCCACCAGCGGGGGGTTTCCGGCTCCCCAGGCGGAGTCGTCCCTGTCGGAGGGGCAGTCGGGGGCGTGTGATACCAAGGTGAAGGCGGAGAGACCTCCGAGAGGGTCGCACTTTAGGAGCTTATCGGTTGATGCCGCCTTCTTTGAGGACCTTGGGATATCGGATGTGCCGGCGCCGGCACCCGGCGGCGCACATAACTTCGGCAACAACAGCAACAGAAGGGTGCACCATATGCGGAGCAACTCGATGGACGGCTCGACGTCGTCGTTCGAGGCGGAATCAGCGCCACCGTCGGATTACGCTAAGAAGGCCATGGCACCAGAGAGGCTAGCCGAACTGGCATTGATAGATCCGAAAAAAGCTAAAAGGTCAGTCTCCTTGTCATCACTTTGCCTTTCCTTCCCTTTCTTTTCTCACGGTTCCGTGACTACCGTAGTTAATATTTGGGTTTCTCTTAGCGATCTGGTTTGATTTCTTCTTTTCCTGGAAAATTGGAAATTTTAATCCAGAATTCTCCTATTACAGGACCTCGAGATTTACATACTCTGATTCTAACGTTGTTGTGAGATTATTCTAATTTCATCTTTCCATCTCTATTTTAATGTTTTGGTTGCTCAATTTTCTGCCTCAATTTATTTTTCTTGCTAAATATTTCAAACTTAACCTCTTTTCTGAGGTTGTGCTTGAAATCTTCAATTTTAGGCAGGAACGATCAAAACTGTAGCTTAAAATCTCAGATATTACGTTCATGCGCCATCTAGTCTCTCATATGTTCATTACTTAAATACTTTTCAGCTTTTAACCATCATCAACGGGGTTAGTACCACACACGGCTTATGATCACGCACTTCCATAGCAACAATAACTGCTGACCACCGGCCAACGAAAACCATCCACCATCTAGCAATACTTCCAATTGTCAACTCCCACTGGCACCACATCTGTGTCATGTTGCCACCATCCATTGCAACAACATCACTTCTACTAGCTTTCAAATTTTCCTCTCATTGCCACAACTGCCTACTTTTACAAGATCACCATCAGCGCCAACCTCTGAGCACTAATCAACACCTCCATCCTTATGAAATAATTTTGACATTTATTGCGCGAAATCAGTGTTTATTAAGATGTTGGGACTTCATATTGACCTAATTTTATTTATTTTCTGGTAAATTATTCATGTTCAAGACGTGAATCATAGTAGAATCATCGAATTCTAGCTTAACTTGCTCGTGTTGCCCCCCCATCGGGTCAATTTTTATGTTCATAAAGTTGTCTAATATGTCGATTGAATTATTTTTTGAATTTGAATATGTTGGTGACGTGTAATCTTATGAGTGTATTAACTGTTTAGTTGATTATGAAAAGGCATGATGTTTTCCACCACGCATTTCAGGATTCTTGCAAATAGGCAATCCGCAGCGCGCTCAAAGGAACGAAAAATTCGTTACACCAGTGAACTGGAAAGGAAGGTGCAAACTCTTCAGACAGAAGCCACGACCCTTTCTGCACAACTAACCATGTTACAGGTATGAACTGCAAATTTCGACATTTCATCCGATGCAGTGAAATGATCAGGTTCCCTGTTGATGAATGGCGCTTGTATACTTCACTTATGGGCCGTAAAAACATTCCTGGCATTTCTGTACTTTATCACGTGTACATGTTATGTAAGACATTTATGGAAATCATGGAGCCAAATTCAACATTGGGAGATTTTGAGTTACGTATGCATTTTTTTTTCATTTTTTTTTATGATGTTTATTTGGTAGACCGTCAATCGACTCTTCTATTATGGTTTTTTATTTCGCATTTAAGATACTTAAATTCATTTTAGTATATCATATGCATACCATTCTCGAGCATTATCGGAGTGGTCTCCGATTATGGCCATCTATTTATGGTGTGGGGAATATTGTTAATAATCTCAAAGACCGTGGGTTGCTCGTTACTAATCGTTGGGAATGATCACTACTTCACCTTGTTGGAGATGTTATTGGAAGGCTTGCAATAATTGTACATTTTTAGAATTTACAGATTTCTGAAACGTAACTATGAAAATTATCTGCGCAGCTGTATTTGTGTGTATCTAATAATGTGGCAAACCCCCTAATGATCTTCACATAATGCTGTATTTTTCCTCTAATTAGTAGTGTTTTTTCGTGCATGAGTTGATTCAATCGTCTCGTCTTGAAATACACAGAGGGACACCACCGGCCTGACTACCGAAAACAAGGAGCTGAAACTGCGACTGCAGGCCATGGAGCAGCAGGCTCATCTTCGCGACGGTATCCACCTTCCGCCATCACTCCACCAATCTTCACCCCCCCCCCTTCCCCTTTTGATGCCCACTGGTTGGAAGGGTGATCTTGCTAGAGGCGACAGCCAATGACTGGGTTCTGTTGGGCGCGCAGCGATCAACGAGGCTCTGAGAGAGGAGCTGCAGAGGCTTAAGCTGGCGACCGGGCAGGCCCCCTTCGTCAACGGGAACGCCTTCTCCAGGGGAGCTCCCCAGTACTTGTCTCAGCCCCAGCAGCAGCAGCAGCAGCAGCAGCAGCAGCAGCCGCAGGCGCCGCCGCCGCAGCTGCAGCAGCAGCTCCACATGCTCCGCCCCGCTTCCAACGGCAATCCCTTCGGCGGCCGCGACTCGATGTGAGGACCGGACCCGCTTCCACCGCTTCAACAGAGAAAGAAAGAAAAAAAAATCTGATTTTTAAGCATCAATTATTCAGTCATGCCCTTGTAAAGATCCATCAGATTCTAGTTCCCCGGGTGTCGAGGGGGACTGACTGACTCACTGACTGACGAGGGGGACCCTCGTTGTCGTGATTATATATAGTCTATAATGCTGTGCGCAGTATTGATGTGATGTTATATAAGTTTGTGGGGGAAATATCTCCGCTGGGTGGCTAACCGACTCACCGAGTCTTGATCGAGATGGTGGGGGTGGGGTGGGGGGAGGCTCAGGGGACGATTCGCCGAGTTCTTGCCACCGATTCGCCGGGTCACCAGGCCGATATGAGTCGTCGGGGAAGGTTCGTTAACTCGCGGGCCAGCGTAACCTGTGACGGCGACTCTTGTCTCCCCGACCTTCCGTTAGCCGCCACCGGGGGCGGTCTACGGATTTCTTCCTGGTCCGCGAAATCCGTGCGGGGAGGGGGAGAATTCGGCGGAGGATGGGGATTGCAGGGGTGGCGGCGATGGCATCGGGAGCTCCGGCGGCGCCGCCAGCGGCCTCCCCGGAGGCGGAGGAGGAGGAAGACGACTGCTGCCACATCCAGGTCCTTCCTGGTGACTCCCTTCACCATATCTTCTCCCATCTTTCTCTCCGGGAGGTCCTCGCCTGCCGCTGCGTCTGCAAGCTCTTCCGCGAGGCCCTCGCATCGCCGCCGTTCTTGGCCCTGCTCCCGCCTGTCCCCTTGCTGGCGCTCCGCCACCCGCACCGCCACCCCTCCGCAGATCTCCACGCGTTCGATCCCGTCGAGAACCAGTGGTTCCGCCTGTCCCTATCCTTCCTCCCCTTCCCTTCCTCCTTCCCCATCACGGCCTCCCCCTCCCTCCTCTACCTCTGGGCGGACTCCGGCGCCGCGGGCATCGCCCCCGCGGCGGCCTCCGGCGGCCCCAGCAATGGCGCCGCCTCAGATCCCAAGCAGTCCACCAAGACGCTCGTGCTCTGCAACCCCCTGACTCGGTCCTACCGCGCGCTCCCGCAACTCGGATCGGCCTGGTCTCGCCACGGGACCGTCCTGGCGGCGCCGACGGGCCACGTCCTCGTCCTCGCCGAGCTCGCCGCCCTCTGGTACAACCCTGGATCTCTTCAGTGGCTCACCTTCTCCCTCAACCTCCCGTCGAAGCCCCGCAGCCCGATCCTCATCGGCGACGCCGTCTACGTGCTCTGCGACGTCGGATCGCCGTGGAGGAACCAGTGGAAGCTCTTCTCCTGCCGGCTGCGCGAGCTCGGGGGGCCCCGTGTCTGGGACCGCCTAGAGCAGCAAGATTGGGGCGACGTCTTCGACATCTTGAAGCGGCCGAGGCTGATCCGGGGGAGGGGCGACCGGAGAATCCTCATGATCGGAGGCCTCAGATCGTCGTTCGCCGTCGACGCGCCGTGCTCTACTGTTCTGATCCTCAGGCTGGATTTGGGGACGCTCGAGTGGGACGAAGCAGGGAGGATGCCCCTGGACATGTACCGGTGCTTTGGCGGCTCTGGGACCTCCGGTGGAGCCAACAAAGTGAAGGTGTTTGGAGCAGATGGGAGGGTCTGGTTCTCGGGGAAGAAGGTGAGGGGGAAGCTGGTGATGTGGGAAGAAGACGAGGTCGGCAAGAGTGGCGGCAGATGGAGGTGGGTGGACGGCGCGCCCGGCTATGGCGATGGTGTTTATCGGGGATTCGTGTTCAATGCCGGCCTCGGCGCCGTTCCTTGATCGCCAAATTGTTCAAGGATTGACAAAAATCTTGGTATGTCACATCCAGCACCTATCATCTGCGGCGAATCTGCTTCTTTCTTCTTCTTCTTCTTCTGATAATCGAATCCCCTACGTGAGCTGAGAATTCCCTCGAGAGATGAGAATTCCGTGAGAATTTGACGATGCCGGTGTCGGCACAGTTTGATCTGCGGCCCGAATGTTCCCAGTTTCGTTAGGCTTTGAAGAACTGCTCCGTGATTAGGTTTTTTTTTGGGGGGGGTGGCAGCTCCTCGTCTCTCGCCCTCCGAGGATCCCATGCTCATTCAGGGGCAGTTGGGGTGGGCGTTCCAGTGCACTGTTGACGACCCTCGAGAAGCAAACAACCCACCAGACCAGACAATAAGTAGATGTTGCATGGAAAATTCTTGTTTCAACACTTGTGTATGCCACTGTCCATCGTTGCTCTTGTACATCGTATGGGTACATCCTCTCTCTCTCTCTCTCTCTCGCTGTGGTCTGTATCACTGTCAGGGAGGAGCTCCTGCTTCCAGCTCCAATGCACTGCTTCCTGACCCAGAAAGGCGCTGACTTTCTTTGGGGATTATCAGACTGGTAGGAGTATGCTTGATCTGTGCTAACTGGATGGATTGTTCTGAATGAACTCGAACTTGGGTGTGAAGAAAAGTTCGATTACGCGAATTGCTAAAATCATCAAAGTGGTTAAAGCTACTCAGAATCAATTGGCAAGAGGCCAACGATTACATGGGAATTTCTAAAATTACTCCGTTACACAGCGGGGATAGCTCAGTTGGGAGAGCGTCAGACTGAAGATCTGAAGGTCGCGTGTTCGATCCACGCTCACCGCATAACAAGAATCGCGTTCTACTTAAAATTAATTTGGAAGGGATAGGGGTCGTTTTTTATTGAAAAATAATAAATAATACACACCTTCTGAAAAACAATCAAATAATAACTGGAGGCATAAAGTCTCTTGAAATCGTTCGCTTGCAATGACACAACAAAGAATCTCTCTCTCTCTCTCTCTATCACACACAAACACCCCTTTTGAATTTAACCACTTTGATGATAGCTAATTATCTGATTTAGAGTCATTTATAGTCATTAATGGTGACCGTTAGAGGGCAAGAAGTAAATCCTATGAATAGGAGACTTCACCTTACCCCCAAAAGAAGAAGAGACTTAAAAGTGATTTCTCTACCCTTCAAATCATCCATGAATGCATGCATGATTGTTGAGGGGCAAATCATTGTTGCTTTACTCTTTTGAGGAAGTAATCATGCTCAAAATTCTAACAACCTCAACCCATGAAGAATGCAGGGCTTAGAGAGGATGCAATAGTAACCAAGAGGAAGAGGGGGGTGAATTGGTATTTTTCAAATCATTCTTTGATTTTTAATTTTATGTTTATATTATTAAACCTAGAAGTTTACTGGACCTATTCCACTTGCTAAAGACTTCATCCTTAGGTTTCACTAAATCTGAAGAAGTATAATCATTGAACACAAATGATTCAATTAATTTTCATAAGATTACACAGCTCTAACCAAGCTAAGTGATTTCTATAATTACTTCTAGATTTGTGGCTATAGAGAGCTATCCAGATAAACAACCAACAAATATATTATATATTTACAGCTTAACACTCAGTCGATCTTTGTTTTAGATTCATGGCTCTTGGTCCACTTGAGTAATAGAAATATTATACAAAAAATCAATAATAATTTAGTGCTCTTACATATTCAATATGTATCTTTCAATAGCATGATTTTTTTGGCCTAAAATTGCAAAACCATCTTGAGGTGTGAGGGCAAATGAATACATGAGAGAAATGTTGACTTTGATCCTTGAAATGATTTTTAATTGGTCTATGCATCGAGGAAGATGTTCCTTATATAGTGATTGATTTTCTTCATTTTATGATTTTTAACGTCTTCAATGGCCATGCCATCCTCCTATTGTTGCTTAGGAGGTAATGCAGACATTTGTCATTTTTCTTATTTGATCTTGTAGTCCCCCTTCCTTAGTGTGCAAAAGCATATCAATCTCGCAGGAAATGAGCTTTACTAAAGAAGTTTTCTAAGGAAATGATCATTTGACACAAAATCAAAGATTTTAAGGGTCATCAAGATATTCTAATATTTTTAATGTAAAAATACCATTTTAATTTTAAATGTTTTTATTCTTATCTTCATCTACTGAGTTCTGCCCTAATAGGCAACATATTTGATATAAAAAATTAGTACATTTTAGTTTAGTAATATCTTTATAACAAACATAAGCTCATGTAGTTAAGTGAGTGGACTGCCTTCTTAAAAATAGAAAGAGATACTTTAAGTCATACAATTAGCTCTAAACTCCCATGGAACTATTCCAAGGGTTAGGGAAATATTCCACCAATACTATCATAATATCTCAACATAATTCTACTCACACATATTTTGTCATTATCAAAAATATACAATTTTCAAAAACCAACAAAGATCTTTTGTTGAATCATAAAAATGATTTATTTAAATAATCATTTTTATTAGTTTATTTACTTATGGTCTGTAATTTTACTCACCAATGGATATTCCTTTGAACAAAATTGTGTGGTGAAACACTATTAAGTGGGGAAGAGCCAAGAAAGTTAATAATAGAGTGATAGTGTTTGAATCAATCTGGTGCTAATTATAATAATATATAACATGTGATATTTGGAAAATATTACTAGAGACAAAGTGAGTGAGGAGTTCTAAAGATAATGGATGCAAGCTACAAGGCTAACTACTCCAAATACATGTATGCATTACCCTATTATGTTTAGATTATTCAATCAGGTGCATATGTTAGTTCTTAGTAAAAAATACTAATATAATCAAGTATTCAATAGTTTACCTTTTATCATGGTTAAATATTGTCTTTTTGAAGCCTCCATAGGTCCGATGATGACAACATAAGTAGAAAGGTATAAGTGCTCATCTTACACTATCATAATTATATTAAGAGATTAGAAAAATATTGGCACAATATTTTTAAAACCCTTAGAAAAGTCTCACATGATTTCAAGGCATTGAATGGTCTAGAATGTAAATTTATGCTTTTAAGAAGGGAGCCAACTTATCTATTAAATGAAAGTTTACACTAATAGTGACAAAGAAACTAAAAAATAGTAATTGGTAATTGTATAAATTATAAATATTTTACCCACTCTACTTACGAGGGTTTCTTTTTTCACTCCCTTATTAGAACGTGAGTAGACTTTGTTGGTATGAGAAATGACTATGTATGAGCAAGTAGATTTGGTGAATAATGCTTCTCTCTTCATGAGGAAACAAATGAGTCATCTCATATAATATGAAGATACCCAATTGATTTATCACAAAATTGAATGAATCAATTCATCAATGAAGAATAACCATGAAAATTGAAGAAAACATATTCAAAGGTAAATAATCAATATCCATTAAAAAATATTGAATCATCTTCACTACCCTTTTAAATACTTTGTTACATTGCAAATCCATTAATAAAATTTGTATATTTCTTTTAGAATTTTTAGACCCAAAATTACTAGATTTTTTTATGTTTTTCTTTATAGCACCAGGTGAGCCAACTTATAAGCAAAACACTAGTTAAGGGGTGTAGCATTACATGAGAAAATAAGTAAATGACAACAAATCTATAGTAATACCTAAACAAGATGTTGGAGTGTGCCATAGTCATCGCGTGATCACTTTACAATAGTTTCTTGACTATTAAGACAACAAATAATTATAAAATTTCCACATATAAAGAACATTTTCCCCAATGCCCAAGTTGATTTTTTTTTTTCAAGTATTGAATTTCATCTCTTTTTCTCAAACATTCAAGTGACTCCACACCTTAAAATGATTGTCTTTAGGTCAAGGAATCCACACCACCATGAGCTACAAACTGATTTGCAATATTATTTAAGTGTTCTTAACTTATTATTGAGCACTAATACTCAAGTTGACCTATAATCGTGAATTTAGAAGAGATCAGTTGGGTTCTAATTTGGTTAGCCCCCTAGGTTTGCAAACCTAAATGAAGTGTTTCTAAGAATCACATGGGTGTAATTGTGAAATCTAATGAAAACAGGTTGGGGACTTTGTGTTCAACATATTTACCACTTTGATTTAGTAGAACCTAAGGATATGGTCCTTGCTCATTGAGCAATGAGCATATGCGGATCCTCTTGTAAGGTTGAAATCATTTGATCTTGGGATGATCATGAGCATGCATATATGAATGTTGATGTCCAATGCATTGGTATAGTTGATAAACAAGTAGAAGACATTGACTAACAAATTGCTTTGGAAGCACATATTTTCGATGGCTATAAATACACAAGGGTTAAATGCTAATTTTATACTTCCAAAATTATGCTGCATTTATACATTTTTCGGAATAAACATTTGGATACTTTAATATTAACTCCAATAACCAATGATAACAAAAAAACTACTAAGAATGTAAATAAAAATGTAATGCAATCAAGCATAAATTATTAACTTATACAAAAATCTTCCCTACAATAAAATATTTGAATGTACCACATAGATTGAGAGATAAATAGATTTATTAACAAGTAGATCTGGAGTGATTTTACTCGTAACCCACTTCTACTATCTATAGAGATCTTAACTTTAGTTTCCACTAATCTTCAGAAATGTTATGTATGTTAGTACTAGCATACCTAGAAATTGGATAGTTGATAATGTTACTAATGCTCTAGATCTCACATAATTGAGGATTTGATTACTACTAAGTGATGATGTTCACTTTTGAATCCTTTATATTTTTTACATTAACAAAATAGATAGTGACAAAACATGCATGTTTACATGTCTTATGATATTGTGAGTGATCAAGATCATGATTCACCCATTGGTGTGGATGCCCATATTAGAATTAATGAGAGTTGTACTCAATTTTAACTGACAATTGATAATTGGAGAATTTTAGTCAAAATGAGAAGAGAGGAGCAGCATATAGACCAACCTCATTCTGATGTGTTTGACTTTTGTAGCTGACTTCTTTACCTAATTGAACCCACTAGAATCTCTTTTTTAATTGATAATTTATCTTTTAGTTATATGATTATCTCCTCACAGATAGTATTTAGTTCGTCAACTAGAGTAAGAGAAAAGTTCAAAATATATGTGACTAGGAGAGAAAGAGATAGGTAGCGAGAGAGATAGAGAGAGAGAGAGAGAGAAATTGAGTAAAATATGCTTATCTGTCCAAAAGTCAATGGATCAAAATGTAGAATCATGCAATCAACCAACACAGAAATTGTGGTGTGCTCTTTTAATTGTGAATTATATATATGAAGAAAAACATTATTGGGTAGAGCCAAACTATGCTGTTACTGCACCCATTTGCATCGTTAATCGCCAAGTCTATGCGAATGCTAATAGTGATCTAGTTCGAGATATACAGTTCGTATCCATCTCAAATCATGGTATGGCGATGATCAGGGCGAGAGGAGGGTATCCGATCAGATAATGTGGCTCCTGATCTGGATGGTCCGAACATGATGACGACTGGGTGCGGCGGCGGTACTCGCGTTCGTCAATCTATTACTATTTTTACATGTGGAAATCAGACCAGGGTGGAAAAAGACCACCCAATTTACATGCTTGAACATGCGTGCGCCACTGGAGTGTGGTAGGCCGCAACACGTTCAGCGTTTGCGGCCGGTCTGGACCAGCTGGTCGTCAAACCCCTTTCTGTACGCTTTCCTTACTTGTACCCTTGTCATTTCTCTCACTCTCTCTCTCTCGTCCTCTCTCCCTTCCTCCCTCCCCGGCGTCATCGCGATAGAAGCCGGTCTTCGGTCAATACCCCCGTCTTCGTTTTCATTTCCTTCCTCTACCTATCACCTCTTCATGCGTTCTCTCTCTCTCTCTCGTCGAGTCAATAGAAGGAAAATAATCGTAGGTTTTTCTATCCAAAACCTGGTTTTTTTAACAGCATCTACTGGTCCGAATAGACTCCGGTGATGATCCCGACGTGTTCATTACTGACCTTAAGAGTGAGTGTGTGTGTGTGTGTGTGTGTGTGTGTGTGTGTGAGAGAGAGAGAGAGAGAGAGAGAGATAGAGAATCTATTCTCTATCATTTCCGAGGTGTTTGTCAGGTTAATAAAAAATATTATTCTGTATGATTTTTTTACAAAGAAGTCTGTTCATCGTCGGGCTGGCATCTTCTTCTCCGACTCACGAAGATATTCCCATGGACAAGAACGAAGGGGACTCTGCAGTCAGAAAACCATCAGAAGGGGGTGATGTGGGTAGCCATCGAGTCGTAGCTGGTGAGGCGACCCTTGGCGCTAACCCGGAATATCTTGATCAAGTCAGCGGCCATCTGCCTGGTCGCCGGCGAGCAGTTGCTCTGCATCAGGAGGAGGATCTTCATCAACCCGTTTCCCCTCGTCGCCGCCTCCTGCGCCCGCCGGTCCCGGAAGAGATAGCAGACGCTCCACAGCACCACCACCGCGTGCTCCCTAGCCGCCGCCGACACCTTCATCATCTTCCCCACGATGGCCGGCACCGCCACGGGGTCTTCGCAGATGGCCGCCCTCCCTTCGCTGCAAGTCGACGCCACCTCCATCAGTTTCAGCGCCTTCTCTGCGGCGGAGCCCCCCGCCGCCGCCGGCCGCACCAGCAGTTTGCTGGCGACGGCGACGGCGCCGGCGCGTACCATCTCCACCCGCGTTTGCCTCGGCGGTGAGAGCGCCACCAGGCAGGAGAGCCCCGCGTCGGCCGCCGCCTCCTCCTCCTCTCTCACCAGGCGGAGGAGCTCCGCCAGCAGATCCCCTGTGCCGGCAATGAGGAGCTTCCGCTCGGCGGCGGCGGAAGTGGCGGCCGCCGCTTCCAGAATCTCTGCGGCGGCGATCCTCGACTCCAAGCTCTCGCCTTTCAGGACCGCGAGGAGGGAGGAGACGGTGAGAGAATCGGCGAGCGACTCGGCGCCGTCTCCATGGCGGGCGAGGAGAACAGGAGAGAGAGCACAGACTGCCGCCTCCATGGCTTCCAGACCGAGGTCTTCCCGGAGGAGGACGCCTTGGAGTGCGGGGACGGCGGCGGGATCGTCAACTAGCTCGCGGAGACCGTGGGGATCTGTGGAGAGGTCCAGGAGGGTGCGAAGGATGGGAAGAGGGTCGCCGGAGGGGGAGGACTGGAGGCGGCGGAGGAGGACGGAAGGAGAGGCGGAGGAGGGAGAAGACCAGAGCTGGATGAGGCGGTGGAGGGTGTGGTTGGGGACCAAGTCGGTGGTGGGGAGGACCTGCATGGTGGCGGGGCAGGTGTTGTGGCCGGTTTCGATCCAAGTCTGGATGGAGGACCTGTCGTAGGTCACGCCAGTGCAGAGGCTCACCGGCGACTTCATCACGTCCAGCGAGATGGGGCACCGGAAAAAGCTGGGCACGTTCACCTCCAGATCTTCTCTCCCCCTGCTCCGCCGCCCCATCGCCGCCGCCGCCGCCGCCGCCGCCTGCAACTGGATGGAAGCTCGAATGCGCCTGAGAGGAAGGGTGGGCAGGAACCAGACCCGCCGGAGGTTCTCGGACTTTTAAGGGGAAGGAAGATGGTAGGATGAAGGTGACGTCACCGCGGAGATGCCGGTCAACAGATAACCGGAGCAGGAGGAAGGGGAGGATTCGTTTAGTATGTCCTCTTGCGCGGCGCGTAATGGAAAAAGCGTGCCCGCAATTAAGACCGAGGTAGGGTCGCTGGCTGTGGGGGCCCCCGGGGATCTTCCCCTCGGCGTCCTCTCTCTCTCTAGAAGTCTGCTACTTCTGGGAGGAAGTCGCCGACACCGGGAGGTGGATGCGGGGTTGGGTGGGGACCACGCCGGCTCCGCCATCTACGGATTTCATGCCGAGTTATCAGCCGGGTCGTTGGTGGCTCAGCTTGACCAGAGGGGGAATCGGCAGCTGGTGACGATCGGGGGGAGGATCACGTTAGGTGGATTGGGGTATTTCGAAAGTTTTGGTAGATAGTTGGGGAAGGCATATATTACTACATGTCAGATGATAATAAAAGAAATATACGGCTCCTCTATTTCAACACTGTTGACTTTGCCGGATTAGACCGTCTAGTCTGGCGGATGAGAGAAGTGTAATGTGTGAGTGGTTTTTAGATAATTAAATGAAATATTTCTCTAAGCGGTTCGTCAACGTTCTGACTATCGCGGTTTGACTGGGGGGCCGGGGCCCACACTTGGTTTATTCGGGTTGCTACACGCTTGCCAGTCGGGTGCTGACTTCGTCGAGTCGGGCCCACGAGGCAGAACGTGGTGGCTTCTCGTTTGCCCCTTGATCGGGACGGTGAACCCGCAGCTTAAAACCAACCGATTAGAAATGCTTTCGGCATAGAAGTCGTCGGCGGGAGAAGGCCTTTTTTGCTTAAAATAAAAGTTAGAGGGCGAAATCGAGGAATACTAATTTTTGCAAGGGCTTTTGGGGAAAGACTGCTATACCGTACGCTTGTGTTAGTTGAAAGTAGAGATGTCTTGTCTGTCGGGGAGAGCGACTCGACACGACTCTGATGAAAGACTTTGGTCAATGGTGGAATACCTCCTTGGGGCAAAACCTACGAAGCTATGAAAGTTTCTCTCTTCCTCTTTGGGGCTAGAAGGACAACCCGTCAAAGTTTCTCTCTCTGGAGTATTCACCAATATGGAAGCATTCTCCACCTGCGAAGCTATTCACCAAAATGATCTTCCTTCTCTCTCTCTCTCTCTCTCTCTCCTCTCCCTTAATACGTAGTGTGATCTCTTCTTTTGAATCACAAGAAAAAAAAGCCTCCGTCTCTCTTCTTCCTCTCTCCCCTCCGACGTGAAAGAATTTAGTCTTAATTGCTCACAATCTAAATGAATTATATATAACTCATTTCAATTAGATCGATATGTATTAAAAAACCATGTGTTCTATGAATTGAATTAATGGAAAAAATAAATAACTCAAATAATAATATTCCCTTTTTATCATTTGTAAGCTTGCGTAATTTTGAATTATGGTCGACACATTGTGACTTTGTTTCTTCATATAGATATGGGTCAATAAATATTTATGTTTAACTAGACAGGGATGGAGAGTAAGAGCAGGTGAGTTAGTCTCCTTGCATAAGTCAAAGTTTGATTAGGTTCACCACCATTACCTTCTATCGGTGAGTCAACTTGGCATTAATTTTGATGAGATCAGATAGGAACCAAGAGGAGTGGGTGAATCATTCTAATATTCTTATGTTTCTTGGCCCTTATGACATACTTGATTATTCTTGCATGCCACCTCTAAGTTTCAATTTCATCATCTAACTTATCATTAGTAAGGTTCATAATTCTTTCAAACGATATCTTGGGCTGAAATTTTCATTTTAGAGCACTCCACGCACCAAGAACTTAGTCGAACAAATATGGATTCTCCAATGTTTTCCTCTCCACTTTCCTTCCCTCAAGGAGGGAGGGAGAGAGAGAGAGAGAGAGAGGAAGAAGAAAAAGTAGAGAGGGGTAAACTGAAGAGGCTGAAGGAGAAGGCAATTTTAATAATTGATACTAACTTGACTTTACAAGTTAATTTCCACACATAAAGCTTAAATCAATTCATCAATTTTTCAGAAATCAAGCTATGTTGTAATCCAAAGTGTTCCAATGTCACTTAAGAGCATCAAAGGGATAACTTCTATTCTTTTATTGCAATGTGGTCGTTTCTTTCCAAGTCTCAAATTAGTGCAAGATTTATATATAATTTTTATAATATAATGTTGTTCTTATAATGCTGCATGGTTATAAAGTGTAAACATATACAATTTATTCACAAAAGAGCTTGGTATCTTTTGATAAATTATGTTCCAACAATTTTGATGACAAAGTTGCTTTCCTTGAGAAGATATCAAAGACCATGAACGAGCTTCTGATTTATGTTCCAATGTAGATGATTCTTCTAATTTATTTTTTAAAATTATAGTGATAATTATGTGGTCATTCAAATGCAAATGTAGGAGTAAATCTTATCATATACTATAATTTTTCTCATTCTTCCATACCCAAATATCATTAGATGATTTTCATTAGATGATCTTCCAGACCCAAAACTCATTCAAGGTCAAAAACATGGCATAAAAACTGGTTCTCAGTGGTTCAAAAATATCTTGCTAGAGAACAGTCCCAAAAGACATTCTAATAGGCATCCCAATTCCCTCCTTTCGACGTAGTAGACTTTTCCAAAAGAGGGCAAACATTCTTGCCTAATGTGTAGGTTTATTACAGAGTTAACATTAAGAGGCTACAAGACGAACCCAAAGGAATGGTCAAATGGCCATTTTCTATATTGAAATAATTTATAATATCTCAAATTAAGGTTCAAAGCATTTTGGCAAACCATATTGATTTTATCTCTTAAGGACTACTTTCATAAATTAGCCTTTACCAGACTTGTCACTACCAATGTTATGCTAAGATTGTCAGATGAGCTAATTCACTTGGTTGATGTATATTTTGCTCAGTTTAATTGTTTGCTACAAAGTCAGTGTTCTACCTTCATTGTGCTTTGGTTATGATGAATGTAAGAACACTATGTTACTAAGTCAATGCATTTTTCTTGAGATATAAAATATCTAATAAAAATAATTTATGTGTTCAATCTCAAAGTTCTTTGAGATTTTTCTAGGAGTTGACTAAACAAATATCGTCACCAAGATAGTTCGATAATAATGTACATTGACTATTTATATCTTTGTGTACATTTTTTGGCACCAAACATGCTATCGACTCCAACTTGGTCAACTACTTTTGTTGAGAGAGAGAGAGAGAGAGAGAGAGAGAGAGAGAGAGAGAGAGATAGGGAGAGGAGTTGGTCCCGACCGGTCCATTGGCTAACGCCGCCCAGCTAGTCGGCCCGATGACTGACCTTCCAAATGAGCCCGCCGGTTCCCCACTGAACTTCCATCGTCGTCGTCTTCGCTCTCGTCTCAACAGGGGAGGGGGGCTCGAGGTCGATGGAGACCGAACTCTCGTATCCTCCAGCTGACTTCGGCCTGGCGGAGTTCAACGGCTCCTTCTGCCATCTCAACACTCTGCTCCTCTCTTCCTCTGCTCGGAGCGGGCACTTTCCGCTGCAGAATTTCGGTATCGAAGCCAGCATCTCCCAACTCTCCGCTAGGTTTCCTCCTAGCCGCCATAATTCCCTCCCGAAGAACGGCAGGAAGGGGCGGCGCGGCGTCGAGATAGTTTTTGCATCAGCTTCCCTCTCTGCGCATGACCGCGCCGGATGGCTGAAGCCTTCGACCAGGGGGACCGGCTCTGGGGCCAGATCACTCATGAAGGCGCTCTCCACCGCGGAGCGCGCCGTCATCGGCGCCATGGCCGGGGGGATCGCTGGCGCCTTCACTTACGTCTGTCTCCATCCCATCGACACCGTCAAGACCAAGCTCCAGACAAAAGGAGCCGCTCAGATCTACTCGAGCGCCATTGATGTCGCCCTCAAGACCTTCCAGGCCAGCGGCATACTCGGGTTCTACCGCGGGGTATCCGCGGTTATCGTCGGATCCGCCGTCTCCTCCTCTATCTACTTCGGCACCTGCGAGCTCGGCAAAGCCGTGCTCGGCAAGCTCTCTCACTACCCGCCCCTGCTCATCCCGCCGACCGCTGGTGCCATGGGGAATATCGTTTCGTCTGCAATTATGGTACCCAAGGAGCTCATTACCCAGCGGATGCAGGCCGGAGCAGCTGGTAGGTCGTGGGAGGTGCTATTGAGGATTTTAGAGAAGGATGGAATCCTCGGTCTGTACGCAGGTTATTCAGCCACATTGCTGAGGAACTTACCGGCAGGTATCCTGAGCTATTCTTCGTTTGAGTATTTGAAGAGCTTTGTGCTAAGTAGGACCGGAAAGGCCAATCTCGAGCCCGTGCAGAGTGTGGTCTGTGGGGCGTTGGCGGGGGCAATATCAGCATCTCTGACGACTCCTCTAGATGTGGTGAAGACACGGCTGATGACACAAATCCACGGCGAAGCCAGGAATAGGATTTCAGACACAGTGAGACAAATTCTTGTGGAAGAAGGCTGGCCAGGCCTTTTCCGGGGTATGGGGCCTCGTGTGCTTCACAGTGCCTGCTTCGCCGCCTTGGGATATTTTGCGTTCGAGACTGCCAGGCTAACACTGCTGCATCGGTATGTACAGCATAAGGAACAGATGGAAAGTATTAAGGATTCTGTTTAAATTAGGTTGGTGTCTACTCATAATGGTGGTCTTCGATTGTATTTCGTTGAGACTTATCCTGTTTACAGGAATCTTTGCCATTTCTTCTCACCACTATTTAACGAACTATTCTCATCACCTCTCTCTTCGACTTTTTTTCAACAAAATCTTATCTGGACGACGCAATCTTTCTTGCCGGGTAGCAATCTCTGAATAATACAGGTGGGATGGATACACCACTTTTGGATCTCTAAACTCTTATCATGTCTATCCTAAGCAGGTTTTTTCCAGGTAGATGCCGTGCTTCTCTCTCTCTTTCCTTTTTCCTTATTACTTCTGTACAGAATTTGTATGGCATAATGATGACGAGGCTAGTTCCTTCGCTTTTCATTGGTAAGTGGGTTCTTTTTTGAAAAATAGTTTTAATAAAAGACGCCCAGATAAGATCAAGTCGAGATTATCCATCAGCAGGTAAAAAAAATTAAATTCAGGGTTTAACATTTTGAGGCCTTTCGCCTGCTTATTTGGGATAATCAACATACCGGTCGTGATATCATGCTATCTTGAATAAGCTACGATGATATGACTGGAACTGCAATATTGATATGGCGTAGCTAATGTGATTTGGTGCGAAGCTGTGAATTTATCGATCAACACTAAAATATATGTTAATATTTATTCGAAGGGTATTTATAAGAAGAGAAATTCAGCCCGATGCAGTAATTCTCTTAACTTTATGCACACTATCTTGCGGCGATTTTTTTGTATCGTTTCTGCAAGAATCAGGTTCTGGTTCTCAGTCGCCTGGCTTAGATTAAAAGCGTGCATAATCCAATCAAACATGTGTATGCAATTGGACTATATGTTGAATATTATGCAACTTGCTTGTTGATTCAGATGTAACGTCCCTGTGAACAAGATATGACAATCGAAGATTTAACTTCCATGCCTGAGGCTTAGATCTCACCTGACTTCGAGGTGACTTATGTTTTCTGTTGGGTTTCATCAGATTTTATTGGTTTCTTCCTTTATCCTTTACAATTTGGCCTTGTTTCCGAGATGGGATCAGTAGGATTTCCTCGCATAGACCAACCAGGATTCTGTCTGTTTTTCCTTCTTGATTTCTCTCATCTTCCGCATTTTATCTCTGCGTTAGGGAAGTTCACCCTTTCTTTTCTTGTGGATCATCTGCTGTGACCAAATCTTTCAGGCCAGCTTTCTTGCATTATTTTCCGTAATGGGCAAGAAATACATCAAATCGGAGGGAGCATGCACTGTAACGAGGGCTTCTTTAATTTCCTTTCAATTATCCCGAATTCATGTGTTCTTTTAGCGATAATGAATCGAGACAAGGGCTGGCCGTGATATTTCCAAGGTTGGTACCTCTCCAATCGGGTGGGTTGGAAATCTGCTCCCACGTTTAGAATTTATTTATACAATCTTTGATTGGTGTTCGCAAGGCTTCTTGTTTTTTTTTTTCTCTGTTCATGGTTTCTGGGGAGCTCCTCATTCAGAGAATTTGTGAGCGAGGTTGCCATTTGACTTCGACTTAATGTTGAGTAAATGCTATTCAACTTAGTTGTATTCTGGGCATGGATTGGCGTTTGACGATTTAAAGACCATCACTTTTTCGGAAAGTCTCTGATGTTTCAGGCTCTTGGGATGGGTCAACTCTGGATCAGGATCAACTGAAATAAATCAGTCATTGTTGCTCATATTTCTTTTCCAAGCATTTCTTTAGCAGAAGACGAGTTTATTTTCATGAGAATAGAACTTGGAATGCTGTATATGGGCAGAAAAATCTCTTTTTTCTTTGAGAACCATGTAACTAAACATCAGCCAGCCATATATAGTACTCAAACTACTGCTGAGTCATAGCCCATATTTGGAAATATTTCCAAGGAGTCGTGTGATTTGGTTCATAATAAGCATTTAATGACGTATACTTATCAATCTAAATACACATAAATACATACTAATAAGAACCATGGAACCATTGCACTAGACATCAGCCAGCCATATATATTGCTCAAATTACTGCTGAATCATAGACCATCTTTGGAAATATTTGCAATGAGTCGTGTGGTTTGGTTGATAATAGGCATTTAATGACTTGTACTTATCAGTCTAAATCTACATAAATATATACTGATCAGAAAAGATAACTAAAAACGGGCCGAAATGCACGCGAAATGGGTCGATTATGTGTCTGGCCACTCTCGTGGGACCCACTGATAACCGCAGCCCGAAAATCACAGGTTCAGACGTGGGCGATGATTCGTGGTCACGTTTTTCCGGTGGTGGCGTTGCAGTTAGAAACTTCCTGAAGCATGACGTGTCAAGGGATGATTGGGTTACAATTGCGAGACAAAAGGCGGTGGGCTTTGATGAGTCAGAGAGACCGGTATAGTTCCCGCTTTTAGCGTAGGTATAAAAATGGAGTGGACAGACTTCGTGAGCTATATCAAACCCTTTTCCCCCTCGTCTCGGCGCACACTCCGGTCGCCTACCTGCGGCGTCTCTCCACCTACTCCTCGCCAGGGGGCCTTGGAGGGGTTATCTTGCTCCCCATCCACATCTTCGCATTTTTCACCAATGGATTTTGAACTGCATCTAGCCGATGTTTAGCGTTTCTCCAGTCAACATCTTCTTATTTTATATCTCCACCGGCGAGCTTTTTGAAAGCCATGGTAGGTGCGCCTTCATATTTTACCTAGACTTCCATGCAGGCCTACAGTGGTTGCATTATTTTATTTCAAACTGCGGTCCTCCGTCGGAATCTTCCTCGTTGTCCGATTATTTATCTTCTCTCGCCGATCAAGCCAATGCTCTCGATCAGTTTATGGGCTTGTTGATCCAAACAAGCGTTGTGCATTTCTTTTGGACCTTGCACCTTTAGCACTTCATCTTGTTCTTTTCTGAGCCTTTTGTGTACGTCTTACGAGTCGTAAAATAAGAAGTCCTAGTATGTTGCATAATACTTTTTCAGAATTGTATTGTGTCTCTGTGCTCTTCCATTTTTTAATCTTGCTATTTTTAATTTTTTTTTAAAATGACGTGGTCACATAGTCTTATTCTATACTTTATCTGTATATATGTGTAATATTGCGTAATGCAATGTTAGAAGTCTAAAGTTGATTTGACTATAAAAAGTATTTTATGAATAATTAACTTTTTTTAGTCATCCTCTACTTTTTATGTAGTTGATTTGTAAAACGGATGATATAGTTTTCATGTTTTGCAAAGTGTTGGTTTGAGATATGCATTTCAAAGGTATACACATTAAGATATCGTACACTTTTTATACATGAGTTAACATTATATTTATAAATAAAATTAAAAAATAATTTTAACATCTCGATTTACCTACAACTTTCAAAGCATTTGCATTATTCTCCTTACATTAATGTTTTTTGTTTATCTACCTTTGAAAACTCAACAACCTAGTTACATGTTGATGAAGTTATAGCTCACATATCTATTATTTATATTGGCAAAAATATAAATTAGGGAATTATATTTTTTTACTTTTTGTAAGAACTTTTATTTGTATGTAAATTTTACTGGTTTTTTAAATGAAGTTATTTTACCTACTTCCAATCGTCATCATTGTTTTTCACTTTTTTACGTTTTAGAATCTATTTCAGTCAAAATTTGTACCAAGTTTACAAAACTTCCCTGGTAATCAAGTCCCTAACGGTGCAACTTCATATTTGGAATTGATTATCTACCTGTATCCGGCTTTTGCCTGTTCAAGCCTAGCATGTGAATATCAAGCATGGCTTAGGCTTTTACATGCACACTGGAAAGAATCGTGAGAGGATGATAAATGTAGCAAACCTTATTAATTGTGTGACAACATACTTCCCAAGAAAGCATAGTCTTCACTTTCAATGTGTATTAAATAGTAAGAACCTTAGGTGTGACAATTTTTTCCATCTATGGTTAATTTCAAAGTTTCAGTTTGCACATATTCCACAGTTTTGCGTTCTTTCAACTTTTGTGATTTGTTGACACACTTACACTCATCTTAGTATCTATATGTACTTCATTTTAAGGTCCTTCTCATCATTTACAATAGTTGGAAGACATGACGCAATAAAATAGTAGCAAGACGGAGTAACATATTTGAGAATAGATTTTTAATTATTTATCGGAAATAAGGATTTATTTTCTGACTTCACTTACCTTAGGGTTGGTGGCTATCAAGGGGTGACCATTCCGATTTGTTATTAGTGTTGTTGTGTGATCTTCCTCTCTGCAAGTTGAATTGCATCTGATGTTTTCTTGAAAACCAAGCACTACATCTGCAAACTAATAGTGACTGAATTATATGTAAATTATATTGACTTCATATATTTCCTTTTTTAGGAAGTGAGAACAAATATTTTCTATGCCAAAATATCTCTAAGTGGAAGTGACTTTTCCATTTCACCGTTGCAATAGTGTCTGTTTGTAAGAGCGATCATATGTGACGTTTTCTGTCTAACCAAAAACTATATCTACAGAAGGAAAGATTCATTGAATAAATTTAAAATCCTATTGACTTGAAAGGTATCCTTTCTTAAATAGGCAGGTATGTTTTCTGTAGAAATGTTGTAATTTTTATGCATATAAATTCTTATTTTTTTGCTTGGTGCAGGCTGCTGTATGTCTGAAATGTGGGGTTGCTGGATTTGAAGAGCTTCTTATCTTCTGCAAGTCATGCCGAATTTATGCTGAGCATCGGTAGGGAATGCACATTAAAAATATTTACAATGCGCGAATGATTGTCCTATCACGAATTTGAGAATCCGGTATAAATGTGTAACGCCCCAAATCAAGGCCCTTGTCCGGATACATTGGATCTTGGGTGGGTTTTTTCAGAAGCTCCTTGGGTTATTCCAGCGATATGGCCTTGTCTCAAGCCTGGACACTTCAAAAAACGTGACAGATGATTCATACTCTCATTTTTTTATGCATCCCATGCACATTTTAGCTCGTCAAATTATGTGAACTCAGAATATGCAGTACTACACCATTCATATTAGTGAACGTGTAAGCAAACATCAGTGACGACAACTTAACTAGGTTTTGCTATTTAGCATGATTTTTAATTTAAGTAGATTATCGAGTACTAACTAGGATGTTGTATACTAAAACTCATTGATTTTGTGCGAGTGGAGTTGCCATCTTCGAGATAATGGTTATGGATTCAATTTAATTTTTCAGCTATTGCTTGGATAGAATACCAAAGCCCACTGAAGAAGATGTTCATTGGTTGTGTTGCCAATGCTGCCCAAGGGTTCCAAAGGCCAGAGTGCATACCTTTGACAACCTGATTCTAAAGAATAGAGGGATATGGTCCTTGAGGCATACTGACCACGGAGTTAAAAGTGATAGTTTCTCGAAGAAGAAGAGGCATCGCTTGCTTCAAAGCCCCATCCCTGCTGGAACATATCGAAATGTGGCCAAGCAACTCAATGGCAGCTCTCATTGTGTGGAGAAGGATGTGCCGAGTGATGCATCAACACTTGAAATATTAAGGCCAAGAGATGACAAATATGGTGATGATTCACTAGTAACCAGTGAGAAGGATGTCATGAGTCCAGGGAAAAACTGTGAACAAGCGTGTCTTGCAATTGATGAGATCAAAAAGGGTAAAAGGAGGAAGTTAGAATTGGATGATGATTCTGATGAAGACAATCTTCCTTTGCCATCCGGGAATGATTATACGGATCCAGTGGCTGCTTTTAGATGTTCTACCGAGGTGGACAAGCTCTGCAGACCGTTGTCTACACCACATACATCATTCCCCAAGCCTACTTTCGAGTGCTTCGGTCGTAATACAGTGTGGAGGTCAATCTAATGATTCATTCCCCGGGTTCCTTGCCTTTTTTAGCCTTTATTTTTATGGGAGGAGGAAATCCAGGGAAATGTTATGTTCATTACTGTTTGCCTCTTTTCTTGATTCCAGGGGTTACTTTAACATCCATGACATAAAATATGGTCCTATAGAAGCCCATTTGTCGAAGACAGCGTGCGAAAAAGTGTGCAATGTGGTTCGTACTTTGCCCCAAATGTTTCATTTTGAAAGGGTCCCGAGGCTAGATACTTGGCCAAAATCCTTTAAGCTCCTCCCACCTGCTGATGACAGCATTGCTCTCTATTTTTTCCCGGGAGACATGAGGTGCTTGGTCTGATCTTGGGCTGCAATTATCTTTTATTATATCGTCCAGATTTCAGATCGTTGAATTGTTCTCTTTCCTCTCCTCTTCAGGGCCAAGGCAGAGCTTGATCAGCTGCTGGATGAGGTAATAATTTATGACCTTGCACTGAAGGGCATAGTGGATGAAGCTGATCTACTCCTGTTCTCCTCCGTGCTATTGCCTCTGCGATCCCACTGTAAGTTCTGACTGTTACTGTTTTTTTCGACAGTAAATCATTATCCGACATTTATTTCTTCCATTCATAATTTACTTGTATGCTTTTTATCTGCTAGAAAATTGATTGTTTCAGATTCTTGTTCTTTTTTGGGTAATTGATGTAGATATCTTTTGTCATGACTTTGGGATTAAACTTAGTAATCCAGTGCTGCTTTCACATCGTTGATAGTGTTAGAGAAATCTACCATCTTCCGCGCTACCTAAGGCAGCTGAGAACATCAATTAATGAGATCTACCGACTCTTAACGGATGGCTGAAGCACTTCCAGTCCTTTTCCCCCCCACCAAAGAATCTATGATTATCAGTATGCTTTCCAGGACCCGCCTGCCCCTCCACATAACGGTTGGCCCTTGTTTCTCCGTAGTGATCGATGGTGCATTATATCTGTGGGGGGTGTTCCGGGCAAGACATTCCACCGCGGCTCGCAACACCTAACAGCAGCAGCAGCAGCAGCAGTACAACACCATGGATGGGGGAGAGAGAGAGAGGTTATGGAGATGTCAAAACCCTTTGAAGATACCCCTCCGCGGAGTAACATTGGACGCTAGTGTGCAGAGGAAAGATCTAGCGGTGAGGACACCGGCGGGGGGGGGGGTGTCTCCATCTCTGGATGTTGCTGCACGTGAAGATATCTTCAAGGCATTAGACTTCTGCTTTCTCTCTGATTGGTGCTCTGACATCTCTCTCCCGCTCCAGCTTGTTGATGTGTGGGCCATCGGATTGGTAGAAACACGGTGCCGTTTAGTAGAGGGACGTCGCTCTTTCGTCATGGCCACGTTAGAGTGCTCCCCGCCCACCTATCATGGCCACGGCTTCTTCCGCGATGTGGTCCAGGCTTCTTCCACCAGACCCACCCTCTCTCTCTCTCTCTCTCTCTCTCTCTCTCTCCCATATAATTTATTCATTCTTGCCCTTTGACTTTTCAATGACCGCGAGGAGCCTGCTGCAGAATCATCTCGTCCAACACCTGTTTATTTTCCCCCACAAGTACGCATCTTTGTGGCGCCAATGAAGGTCTCATAAACTTCGGGTGGATATCTCTGTGGAGCCCGTTGACTTTTGCTAGAGTCTTGGTCCGTGGCTCGCACGAGCAGTCTTATGAATTTGGGTCAGCGCTGCCTTAAACCTACGCAATTCGACCTGGGGAGGGGGGGGCGAGCGTTGACCCGCGGGAAACTTCGCCGAAAACCAGTCGAGAATTAGGAGCAAATGGAAAACCCAAAAGTCTCATCATCGTCACGTAATCTATATTTTTCTAATCGATGAAAGAATAAAAAAATTGCAATTAAAGAAAAAATCTACAAATCCCTTGAGGCCCGGCGTGATCGAGTGGCCATCGGTGTTCGGGGCTGATCATGTTGGGGGGGGTGGGGGGGGTGATTAGGATGGGAGTGGTTTTATCGGGAAGAGGACAGGACTCGCCTTAGACGGTGACGGCTGGTGGCGGCCCCGATCACTGAAGGGCGTGGGCCCTCCTGCTTTCCATTAATGCTTTTCAACGACCTCTTCCATCTCTCTCTCTATCTCCCTCCATCCCTGGGCTCTCTGAGTTGGTGGGTCTTGACCATGCCTCTGTCCTCTGACTTCGTCGTCCTCCCTCCGGAGCAGAGAGGAAATTAGGGCGGTGGCGGAGGCGGCGGCGGCGGCGGCGGCGGTGGTGGCGGTGGCGGTGGCGGTGGCGGTGGCGGTGTGTTTCACAATTGGCTGATGAAGTCCCAGTAGGCACCAGGAGAGGGGAGAATTGGAGTCGACAAAAAGTTCCCCGGGCTGGGGAGGAAGGGGCCGTCGGTGAAGATGTTGCTGTTGTTGGTGTTGTTGGGCCGGAAGACAGGGCTCATCTCGTTCAAGAAGGACATGGTGGAAGGGTCCACCACCGCCGGCGAGAAGATGTTGGGGGAAAAGGGCGGCAGCGCGGAGGGAAGAGGCGAAAGAATCCCCGGGAAGCTCCCCGCACGGTCCAGCGTCGCCGCCCCGCCGCCGCCGATACCCAGTTGCTGCTCTACGAAGTCATCGCCGTGGAAAATCATGGACCTGTTGGGACCGGCCGACATCTGACCCGCGCGCTCGATGGTGGCGAGCCGCGCGGCCGGCGATATCGCGCCGGTGGCAACCGGGCTGGGGTAGCTCATCGCGTTCCCCATTCCAGAGTCGGCGGCGGGGCCCGACAGGGCCGTGGGAGAGGCGCCGGTGAGCCGTTGTACCAGAGACATGAACTCCCTCGGCTCGATGTGGATCACCTTGGGGGAGACGGTGTAGATGATCACTGGCTCTCGTGGCCGCTGCGCCGCCAGCGCCGCCGCGTGCGGCGGCGGGTGCTGGGACTGCGATGGACCCCCTCCGGGCGGCGCCACCGGCGGCTTCTTGATCTTGTAGGAATCCTTCCTCACCTTGAGAGGGGACGGCCGCGGGCCTTGCAGATGCACCTCCCTGCGCGGCGACGGCCTCCCGAAGGCGACGTACTCCGAGGGATCCATGGCGGCGATGGGCGTTTGAAGCCGAGGGCGCAGGAACCTGTGGAGGTCGTCGTTCGCTCCTTGGGGAGGAAGATTTGGGAGGCTGCCCCCTCGGCTATATAAACAGCCAGGGTCTAGCGAATATTAAAGCCACGAGGGTCAGGAGGAAGCTACGGCAAGCTTCGGCATGCACTAAATCCGTGTTTTTATATATATAAAAGAAAAACACGGAAAGGTGAGATGCTTGGTCACTCCAAAGATTGGGTCTCGCGTTCTGACTCGGGATAGCTGAGAAAACCCCGATCGAAGAAGACTGGGGCCGCACCTCCCGGTGGCCCCTCGGGCGTTGACCGGTTCGACGGCGGGCTCCGTCTCGTGTGGTCGTCTCCTGTGGCAGTCAACGAGGAGCGAGGAGAGGAGGTCCACTGCTTGTCCCGGCGACGGAATCCCGGAGGGGATCTGGTGGGCAGCCCAGTCCAGAATAATCGAGGGAAAACTTGCTGACGAACAGGATGGATCGAGAGCTTGGTGCTTGTAAGACCCATTTCCCACTCGAGGAAAGAAAAAAAAAAGCCAGAGAAACGAGCGCAATATCCTTATGGCTGACTGGTTGAACGTTACCCTGCCTCGGAGGGCCTCGTCGGATCCCCGAGTGACTTGGAAGACCTTCTTCTCCCCCCTCCCGTTAACCCCAGCGCAATTCTGAACAGGTCATCGGCCCCTGCAACGCGGACAGGATACGTCATTCACGACTCAGATAGAGAGACGGGGAGAGAGAGAGAGAGAGACCAACCAAGAAATCTTACTGGGTCACGAGGAGAGCGGCCGCCAAGTGAGTCAGAGCCACATTAATGACATGATGACGGCGGAAGCCGCCCTTGGCGCTCTTGCGAGGCACTCTACTCCTCGACTGACCCCTTCTTCGTCTTCCACACTGAGTTTGCTCAACGTCACCATGAATGCAGCCCGGTGAAATCTTCTTGACGCGGTTCACGTGCCACGACAAATCGTAGCGCTGACAAATCGAAGTGTTGTCAATCAGCAGCCCCGGGGAGTCAGCTCTATCCCTATCGCCGTCTCTTCCTCAGACGGTGGGGCACGACCTCTCCGGCGGCCTTCCTCCACAGCTTCCTCTCCATCCTCTCTCTCTCTCTCTCTCTCTCAGCGCCAGGAGTGACGAATTAAATGATTAACAGGATCTTTTTATTTTGCAGAAGCGGCCAAATGGCCGGTTGACTCTGATCCGGATGCCCATGAACTTGTTTGCTGTTCAAGTTATAAGAAGTCGTGGAGTAGCCGGATCTGGAGCAGTCATCTCACCCGGGCTGAAGTCCCGTCTTAACACACGCACTAGATAGGATAAGGTTATCCCAAATATCCTAGTTAATGTGACTTAAACTACGACAGCATATTATAATGTATACGTGGAGCGAGAGAGAGAGAGAGAGAGATCCTAGATGATTGAGGTTTCCCGGAAGACGCAGCCGACACTACAGCCGCCGCCGGCGGAGCATGAGCACGAGTGCATTGAATGTTGCTACCCGGCGAGGACTCTGCTTTTCATTCACTACACATCTGGCGGCAGGTTCTCGAGCAGATGGGTCCTCTGGCGTCCGACAACTCTCTCGCTCATTTCAAGCTCCCGCCGGAAACGATCTTCGTTCGAAATTAACATCGTAGGTTGATTCCGAGAAAGTGGCATCAAGGGCCAGATGAACACGGGGATTCACAAACGCCAGCGATGTCGAATCCTTCATCGGTTTCCACCGGAAGAAGCAGACTCAGTGCAGAAGAGCGACTTCTATCGAAGTTGTCGGATTGATTCATGAGCGCCGCCTGATCTCAACTCTCTGTGTAAGTAGCCATTGGTACGGTCGATAAAAGTCCCACAAACTGGCCATGACATCATTCATTAGAACGTCGGGGTAGGCCGAAGAAGATTGCGTGTAGAGGCGTCGGCGCGTCGACCCCCCAGCGGAGGCCGAGCAAGCCGGAGCCCTCGCCGGCTTTTCTCTCCGCCTCTTGGGTGCGATCGCCGACCGCTTAGATATTCAAGAGGAGTCCACATTTTGGCCAGTACCTCCGGTAGCCCTTACAGACGCAGGGCGGCTGAGAAAGGCTTCTGTTCAATTGCAGAACCAGGCGTCGAAGTCGTCGCAGCGGGGGCACCTCGCCGGGGAAGATTGGAGGGTGAAAGGAGCCTGCGAGGTTGGTGAATAGCGTATCACGCATGCGGTAGGTGGATGGGCCTTCAGACCAGTGCTCGGTCGAAAAACCCCCTTTAAGAACCAACTTAGGGCACGTGCTTGTACACGTGTGGGCAAGTGTTTTCGCGGGTACTCCAACAATCTCGTTGGAAATTCTAATAGTTGGAGTTAATCTCGTTGGAAATTCTAATAGTTGAAGTTGCCAGAAAAAAATCCAAAATGCATTGTAGATTTTCCAGACTGAACTAAGATTAGTTCTTGAAAAGTAAAATAGAAGTAAGTTACAATATATATTTATTATTTATGGATAAATGGATAAATCTCGAAATAAAATTTATTTATTTATTTATTCAGTCAACTTCACATGTCATTTTACATAAAACAAATAAATATAAATTTTTGATTTTGTGTAATCATTGCAATATAATCAAATTGGTATGAAAAAAGCGAGAGTTTCTCTTCTTCTTCTCTACTTGAGGGTTCAGAAATATGCCTTCATAAGTTGTATAGGGCTTGGGAAATTCCAGAATCAACGTGGCCCATTTAGCCCGTCTTTCAGGGTCATTGTTATCTACACCAGTGACTAGCTCATATTTGGGGATCATTGGCCCTATGTTAGGTTGCCACTTCCCCCTGTTGTCTAGTGTACTACTATGGCACCCATCGCACCCTCGTTAACCTTATGTGTCATGAGTGATTGGGTAGACAAGGCAACCCTATTTGGGTGTGGTGTCTTGGCGGATACTAACAACTTAGGCCTTCATTACTGTCCATAGTTGCTTCCATGATGTACTTGCTAGCCTCCATGGTCTCTACCATAGGTAAAGTCGTAGCCAGGGTGTCAACCACGTCTACAGTTATCCTAACACTTATTGTTGACTCCATTAGTGTCTTTGTAGTCCACAAGAGTGTCTCCCCTCGCAATTGTGAACTGTGCATCTTTTGGTCTCTATCACCACAGCTCAACCCATGGCCATCCCTTGAGACATTCCATGAAGTTAAACATTTTGATATTGTCATACGTATTATTAATATCAAAATGTATCGAATTGCTTCCCATATTCTCTTACAAAACCTGTGTTGTGGATGATGGAGCATATTGCACGCTATCCACATGTTGTTCATCAAAAAGAATTTAACTCCATTAAATTCTCTCACATCTTGATGAGGGATCAAATCAGGCTGACACATGGGTCAATCCATTGTTAGGTCAAGTGATCAAACTAATGTGGCTTGAATAATGGGCATACCTTTTCACTTAGTCAGTCTATTATCATGTTAGTCAAAGATCTTCTAACATGTGGGAAGATCCGCTGTCATGTTGAAATACGCTTGTCACATATCAACCATTTTCTTGACTCTGTCGGATTCTCCTTGAGTCAGATCTTTCTAAGTTGACATTATCCTTGCCAAGTGTCATATATGTTCGACAATGTTCTGCTACGAGTCGGTGGCCATGCCATGCGCCAGCCTGATTTGTTAAAGATGAAGCATATCATTTTCTCTACATCTTTATGGGCTGAGCCTAAGTGGGTTGCCATATGTCACCCTTGCTAGTTTATTGTGCAACGTGTAACTTGTGTATTTTGACTTGGTCGCATGTCATGTCATATCGACAGTGTCGCATGTCACTGCAACTTTAATGTTTCACATTCTAGTTATCTCGTTTGTCTGAGGATGGGTTGACACATTTCTTTAGTGGTCAGCACACTATATATGGTTCTTTTTTTTTTTTTTATTGACTCCACTGACTTGATTAGCTCTGATTTGATGTAGAGACAATCTTCGTCTTTGATATCTTCAATTTTGGCCTAAATAACATATTTCTACAATATCGAGACTAAATCAGAAGTTTTGGTCTTAATTTGACATTTAATACAATTTTTTCAATAATTATTTGTTTTTAAAATATCAAAAGCACTATCTCAACACACCCATCATCTCAACCTTGGATATGATACCAATTTTTCACAAGTATCCATCTAAGTCCTACAAATTTCGCGGTCTCGTGACAGTCTTCATCATTGCTCAACTGACATCAAGTACTCTCACCATGGTGCATTAGCATACAACGAATCAAGAGGACATGCATTTTTCACTTTTATGACAATAAACTTGAGGAAGAACACCTCCTTCTAACTCAGGGTCACACCTGGAGAGCGCCCTTACATGGTTCGGCGGAGTCCAACCCTTATAATTTTCTCTAGAACTACTAAAGAAAGTTATATGGTGGTTCTGGTCATGTCTGCGGGTGATGACACCACCACCATAATCATCCCCACTCATGACAAAAGGTCACACCCACATATGTAGTAGTTTCTTCCTACTACACGCCTCCTTCCTGTGTTATTCAGTCCACGGCCTTAGAGATCCAGGGGGCACCTCTCTGAACCTTATTGTGTCTTACAGGAATAGTTCACCCGAATCCCACGTGAGCCTCCTTCACTCCCCAAACCTTGCTCCCTCTAGCGATGCTGCCTGTCGAGCTACATGCACTCTGTGCATATCGTACTGTGGCTCTGCGCTCATCGCTCTACGCCAAATGTGCCGCGCTGTGCCCACATGTGAGACTGGATAGCCTTGTGTTGGTTGACAATGAGGTTTCCCCATGCAAGGGGCGTGTCAAAGTAGTATCCTGAGGTGTAAGTGATTTTTTCTCTTTGGGAAAAGTCAACTACTGGATCTCGCGCACGACGTCAAAATTGGCATCAAGTGATATTTATGTGTCTTTGTCTGCGAGGAGCGACGACAGGAGATAGGCGTCGAGTGTATGACTAGCTGGGGTAATGGTAGGCATCGCCTCCAAAAAATGATTTTTTGCCGCATAAATGGAACTAGCATCTGTCGATAAGGAAGCGTTTAGAAAAATACGATAAAAACCCACGCGCTGGTCCTTCTTTACGCCACCTACCCCCCTGGTCCTTCCGAGCCAGGTGCCTGAAGGTGGATGAAGCATGCAAGGAAGAAGATATTGCCTGAGCCTAGATGACAGTCTATCCTCCCCCTCTTCCTTTACACCCCATTATCCTCCCCGGCCGGCGTAGCAGGCAATCGAGGAAGGACTCTTGCACTGCAGCATGATCATCGCCAACTCAACCGGTCACTATGACTGATACCTCTCGAGTTTCTGAAACAATGTCGAATATCGAGCGAGCTAGCGAGAGAGAGGGAGAGGGAGAGAGACAGAGAGAGAGAGATTGACCGGCAGACAGAGAGGATTGCTGCGTGAGCTGATCATAAGCCTCTCGACTAACCCAGTCTCTTGACTTCTATCAGCAGAAGGCTCTCATCTCCCTCGATGGTCGACGACGGTTTCCTATGGGAAGCACGGTGAGATTCCTTCTTTCTCCTGTCGATTCGCGCGTCAGCGTGAAATGTGGGTAACGTTTACGCGTAGAATACCATGTATAGGTATCATCCAAATACGCTCACATTTTCCTTCCGTGATGCTAATCGTTCTTGGCGAAACTACTCGGTCTTTGGTTGACTTCGCCTGAAGGGTTCAGCCTGGTGGTAAGGTCAAACTCGTCCGCAGCTCCGTTGGCGATGATTTGCCAAAGCGGTGGGTCGGCCGCATCTGACTCTTGCAAGGCTGTTGGAAATCGGGTCTCGTGTACCAAATCGTCACGTGCTAGTGATACGTAGCAGCTGGAGAAGAAATCCTGGTGATAGATAGAGAAAGAATGAGTCGGCATGTCAACGCTGACCCGCTCAGTCAACAGAAGAAAACTCTCGCCAAATAATTTTTCTCACATGTTGATTGGCGAGGGAAGGGGGACCTACATGGCAGAATGGGAGACGATCATTTTTGTCGGAACCGGATCTTAACGGTACGTTTGATCCAATTCTGGAACGGTGTCGATAACGAATAAAATGGTAGATTTTCGTGTCTATCGTTAACCCCGATGCTAGATGATCGTTACCGGTTCAACTTCCCTCATCCACTGTTAACCGAGCTTGTATAACTTGCGGTCAGCTGTGAATGATGTACAATTAACGTGTTCTTCAGACGAAGCCGATCAACGACCGGGCCACCCACCAAAATTTTACTGGTTCAAGTAGTGGCGAACCTACCTCTCACCACCGCTTCTCTCTCTCTCTCTCTCTCTCTCGCTTTATACAACTATTTCTTTCTCTCTTTCTGATCTATATAATATTCTCTCTCAAGCCGACTCATTCTTTCTCTATCTATCAAATTTTCTTCCTCCCTGATCCTCTCTCTCACGCATTATACAACTATTTCTTTCTCTTTCTGATCTATATAATATTCTCTCTCAAGAAGACTCATTCTTTCTCTATCTATCAAATTTTCTTCCTCCCTGATCCTCTCTCTCACGCTTTACACAAACTATTTCTTTCTCTCTTTCTGATCTATATAATATTCTCTCTCAAGCCGACTCATTCTTTCTCTATCTATCCAATTTTCTTCCTCCCTGATCCTCTCTCTCACGCTTTACACAAACTATTTCTTTCTCTCTTTCTGATCTATATAATATTCTCTCTCAAGCCGACTCATTCTTTCTCTATCTATCCAATTTTCTTCCTCCCTGATCCTCTCTCTCTCTCTCTCTCTCTCTCTCTCTCCCCTCCATCTCTGTATGACCCTTTCCCCTTCTTTCTTCTCGCCAATCTTTTCTCTTCCTCTGACTCTGTCCGTTGCCTGGATATCTATCCAACTCTTTCTCAGCCTCCCCTCCCTACATTCTCGTTTATCAAAAGGTATCGGTTTAGCGTGTAAAAATAAACCGTAGAGGCTTCATACGGAACCTACCACCCATAATTAGAAAAGTAGGAAGCCGTCTGCGTTCTATCTCCGAGTTATTGACAAGTTCCCACATAGACGTTGACCAAGATAGGTTAATATCAACAGCGTCGCAGTTTTCATCTCATAAACCGTTGACTTTACTGAATCTAGTATTATTCACAATTAATAAATGGTAAAACGTTTTTTAAGATTTGTTACTCACCTGTTCTACTTCACATGAAAAACTATTTGGAGCAGCACCTCTCTCTCTTTCTCTCTCTAGAGATGGTTCAGGTTATGAAGACGCCATTTTCTGAGATTTTCCTATAAATGCATGGCCTGGAGCAGTGGAAGATTCTCTGGTTTGACTCTCTCACCTCTTTATTGTGATATCGATGAAAGTTAAGTAATTAGTAATTACAATCGCTGGCAGATTATTATCGTAATGATATCCTTCATGCATAGCAAAAACCCAGCTGCCAGGCGTGGTTGACATTTATTATACATCCCTCGCGCTGACAATGGGGAAAAGTCCACGTCAACGCTCGTTCATTCGTTTTATGCTACCCTATACAGCGAACGGCCAGCGGCCCTGACGTGGAATCCATTATTCAATTGCTCCTCATTCTTTTTTTCCTCTATAATTTATAAACTCAAAGTCGGCGGGTTACGCCGACAAAGATGGAGAGGCTCAATGGACTCGCTTGGGGAGCCGTGGCCACCACGTTGCGATGCTTCCCCCGCTTGTAATGGTCACCTTATGTGGAAGTTTCGAGGTTTCTTTGGGCGTTTAAGTCGACCCAAGGGTGACACTACTGGCTTACAAAAGTCAGCGTCCTGGACAGGCGCGCCCGTCGCCGTCGCCGGCTGGCGCCAGGACAGCGGAAAAGGGTGGAACTGGCGAGCGAAGCCTGTGGGACCCCCCATCCTCCGATCTGCTGCGATCTGTTCGTCACGTGATGCGGCGTCAAAGCCTCGACATAGCCAACTCCGCGTCCGTGGCCGTCCATACCTTTTGACCTTCTCTCTCTCTCTCTCTCTCTCTCTCTCTCCCTCCCTCCATCGTCATCCTCTTCCTCCCTTTCCTATTTAAACCCCCTCTGCATTTTGCTCAACCCGTTCATCTCTCCAAACAAAAGCGAGTTCCTTTACATCGTCATCTTCTCCTTCTTCGTCTCCTCCAACAAAGAGCAAAAGAAAACCTCAAAGGCTCGTTCTGCGTTCTACGATTCATCTCCCATCTCACGCCAACGATGGAAGAGAAGGGGGTCGACGTCCCTTCCTACTTCCTCTGCCCCATCTCTCTCCAGATCATGAGGGACCCGGTCACCGTCTGCACCGGCATCACCTACGACCGGGATAGCATCGAGAAGTGGATCTTCTCCGGGAACAGGAGGGTGGAAGCCACCTGCCCGGTGACGAAGCAGCCAATTCCCGGCGGCGAGCTGACCCCCAACCACACCCTCCGGCGGCTAATCCAGGCCTGGTGCGTCGCCAACGCCTCCTACGGCGTGGAGCGGCTCCCCACGCCACGTATTCCCCTCGACAAGGCCCAGATTGCTCACATACTCAACGAAGCCCGCAGGCTTGAAACCCAGTTGGATGCCCTCCGCAAGCTCCGATCTTTGGTCATTGAGAGCGACAGGAACAGGCGCTGCGTGGAGGCGGCGGGTGCACCGGACTTCCTCATCTCCGTCATCAGGAGAAGCCCTATTGCACCCTCTACGGAAGAGGAGGCCCTTGGTGTTCTCCATGCTCTGCAGATCTCTCCGCAGGGGTTCATCGACATGATAGTGCGCAACGAGGACCTCGTGGAGTTGTTGATAGCAGTTATGCAGCGGTCAAACTACCAATCCCGTGCCTACGCCACCTTCCTCCTCCGGTCGCTCTTCGAGGCCGCGTCCCCGGTGCGGTTTCTCTCCCTTAAGGACGAGTTCTTCACGGAGCTGGTGAAGGTGTTGAGAGATAGGATCTCCTTCAAGGCCACCAAGGTGGCCCTGCGAGTCCTGGCCATGTCGTGCCCGTGGGGGAGGAACCGAGTCAAGGCGACGGATGCAGGGGCTGTCCCGGTTCTGGTGGAGCTTCTTCTCGACGACCCAGAGAAGAGGGCCTGCGAGATGGCGCTGGTCGTCCTCGATCAGTTGTGCTGCTGCGCTGAGGCAAGGGCGGAGCTGCTGGCGCATTCGGGGGGCCTGGCGGTGGTCTCGAAGAAGATAATTAGGCTGTCACACCTGGCGACGGAGCGGGCCGTGCGGGTGATCAGCTCGGTGGCTAAGTACTCGGCCACGCCGGCCGTACTACAGGAGATGCTGCAGATCGGCGTTGTCGCCAAGCTCTGCCTTCTCCTCCAAGTGCAATCCGGGAACAAGACCACGGAGAGGGCCGCGAGCATCCTCAGGTTGCACTCCAAGACGTGGAAGAAATCCCCGTGCATCCCTCAGCATCTGCTCTCTTCGTACCCCTCGCACTGATTCACGGAGCCCCCTTGGCAGCTAACAAAACCCTATTGATTTATACTGTTTTATGAATCTCATTGATTCAATGGGCAACCAATTGGACTTGCCCTATAACAACATGCTCAGAAAAACAAAACGCTTTGTTTCCTGCACTCTTATTGCCATGTTCTACGCACGTTGATGAACTTACATAGCTCGTCTAGCGATCGAAGATGAATTACCCTACGCGCAACACCGTTGACACTTGAATTTATCGTCCGATTCAGAGGATATGAACAATCCAACGCGATTTCCCATCGAGCTGACGACCTCCAATTGGCTGTCTGGTTCTCTGGAGATGTCTGATGGGCACGCAGTAGATTGGCTGCCCAGATTGAGTCGTTCAGATCCATCCAAAGAGATTAGCGCGCTCTCTTTGAGCTTTTGGAGCTGCCCTCAGTCAGCTATTCAGTTTAGAGGGAGGGGGGGAGGTAATCCATCAGGGCTGCCCCGCTTAGCTCTTATTGGGCACTAGGGTGCCGGTAGAGAAAATTTCTCGATGACTTTCAGCTGGAACAATCGACAAGTCTACGCCATTTATTCTGATCATCCTCCTTTGTAATCGTTCTTACCCATTTCTACTTTAGCTTGGACAACGATGTAGATAAATGCGACAAGACGGCAATCTCTCTCTTGATTGAACACAAATACACCACGGATTTTTTTTATAATAATAGAAAAGACTGTTCTAAATTCTAATCCATCTACTTGCCTGCGTTCCCATCGCTCCTCCGTATATCTTAAGACGTTAGGGTTTTGGGATCTTGTCGATTACAGTGCTTTTTATAAATGCCATGTGGCCATCGAGATAGGTAGTCTGAGCACCATTGTAAGAAAACTCTATCAAGCGCACTATCATCCACAATTGTCGAACACAAGATCGAACAGAATTTCGAGACACAAGCACATGCTCACCATTGTCCGCGCGTAGAGACAAGGTGTGATGTAAAAATGATCCAAGCGGCGGGTCAGATTGGACATCTGAGCTGTTTGCAGCTTGCCAGATATCTGCCTTCTGCTAGATTCTGCTGTGGGTATCCCGATATCGAGACTCGTGATCTTCCTGGAGGTCTGAAGTCTTCCCTCCTGACCTCTGCATCTAATCTCATATGGGTCTTAGACGGATCCACCAGGGACCGTCGCATTCTTTATCTATCGAAAGTCAACTCAGCATTAGTTTGTGACAGACCCGTGCGTTGGCTGAACACCTTCTCCTCCCCTTTGAAGGAGCTGGACCACCTCCTCGTCGTCCACCCATACTGCAGAAGAAATCGTAATTTTCGCTGTGTGATTATTCAACGCACAGAAAATGTCGAAAAACAGACTGTGGGTCAGATTATCAAGTCTGCGAGTGTTCATTATATGGGAACTGCATCGCTATCGAGTTGATTATTCTTTTGACGCGGGGAACGGGGCCATCTCAGTCATTTATTAGGTTGATTGCAGGACAAAGACATGTTAAAAAGATGGAGGTAAATAGGTGCCCTTAAGCTCCATCTGCATTTATTTATTTATTTATTTGTATTGGTTGGGAGCCATAACTTCCTCGAGTAGATCCCCCACGTGAAGATTCTGCCCCAGACGGCCATTTGGTGCTTTGCGCTCGGAGATCAACGGCCTTCATGAGCGGACGACTTTGGGTCCTGTAAATCCGATGGCCCCAGTTGCAACTTGGCTGCGCCGTGGCGGGATGACCACCGTCACAGTGGCGCGCTCACCACCCGAGCTTCCAGACCTTCTCGGCCAGAAGGTTTCAGGAGAGAGAAGAAGCAGAAAAATAATAAAAAAGAAGAAGAAGAAGAAGAAGGCAAGGGGCGCCGCCGGGGGGGGGGAGGGGGGGGGGGGGCAGCGTTCAACGTTGGACTTTGACGTGACGGCTTCGCCGCCCTGTGACCGGGGTAATCTACGGGCCCCTGTAAATTTTCGGACTGATCCATCACCAAGTCTGGATAGGCAGCGACTGGCTCCTCCGGGGACACCTCCGACGTTCCGGTCTCCAGCGGTTTTCTGAAAACAGCTTGGGGATGGCCTTTGACCTTCCTTCTTAAGGCTCGTTCGCTGGGGAACCTTCGCATTGAAGGAGGAAAGATAGCTCAGCTCTCACGATCATCCAGCTCGGAACGATCCCATGTAATCTTTTCTACATGTTGACCCTGACGGCGTTTAGTGTCCCCAGACAATGATCTATATTGAGGAAACCCTTTCCAATCGGGCAGCAGTGCACTGGGTTGCCCGTCGTTAACCCCATCAATTGATATCGGGAAAGGTCCAGAGAGAGAGAGAGAGAGAGAGAGAGAGAGAGAGAGAGGTCGCTGTTTGCAACGGCGACTTTCCCGAGTATCCGTACCAGCAGCGATTAGGTCAAAGAAGGGTGGTATAGTCAACTGGTCAAAATAAAGTTTCTAAAGTAACATTTCCTTGAAAAATGTTGATTTTTCTTCTAAGCACAAGAAAATTCTGGGTAGCAAAACCATACTGGGGCCGGTGGAAAAGAGCCAAAAAATGGGTCGAATTAGATTCTCATTTTGACGGCGGTAGGTGGAGACTTCGATGCGTGAAAGAGGCTCGGTGGATCAGCTGATCAAATCCAATGGTCAACACTTTGAAGAATCTTACCAATTCGGGAAAAGTCAGACCAACGGCAGGATTGCTCAGATTATGGGTCGACATGAATCGGTTTTTTGCTACACGACGACTATTTTGTGTAGATGATGACAAACACCGGCGTTGACCTTAAGGGAAATGATCAAAAAGTCAAAAACATGTGGAGCAGCTAGTGAGCTGGTCAAGGGTCTTCGGGGCCCCAGGCATCGTCTCTCAAACCATGCCTGGCGTGGATGCGATCCCTTCTTGCAGCCTCTTGTATCCTCAGCTCCCTTGAACCGAAATTACCAGTGAGCTTCAGCCCCATTCCCTGAGCGATCAGCCTCTGCGCAGTCCTTGCTGAGGTCTTCGGCCTCGGGTGTGGAGGTTCCAAATCTGCGTTGTTCCTCACTCGATCATGAGTGAGCGAGCGAGCGAGAGAGAGAGAGAGAGAGAGAGAGAGAGAGAGAGAGAGAGAGAGAGAGAGAGAGAGAGAGAGAGAGAGAGGCGCTGCTATGAAGTAACACTAAGTTAAGGCGATATGGTACCTTTTGCAGAGATCTGAGTCAAAATTTTGTCACTGTTATCCTCTATCATGCGTACCTTGAAGGGGCAGGGAGAGGTAGAAAGAGCCCTGCTTGCTGCAAAAGGAATAACTCGATGAGATGTGCACAAAGATTTTTTAAGAAAATGAGAAACCTGGCAGCATCACCATGTTATCAGGCAGAAATTGATGAAGAACCAAGTGGAAATAGCTAAAATATTATCTTCAGAGTCGAATGAAGAAAAAAAATCACAAATGCTTACATTAGAAGGGTAGACTATCGATTAAAGATCCTCAGATAATGCATTGAAAATTAAGACAACATAAAAAAATAAATCATGTATAAATATAGGAACATTCATGACCCTGAACTCATTGTTCTGTCAAGAACTTTTTCAGTTGAAGGGGATGAATACAAGAAGTGGTTTCTTGTTCCGAATCCTGGCATGGACCTTGCCACAGGGATCATTAACACAAGAAGATTTTCCCAAACCACATTGTCTGTCACTGATTTGGGATTGCCCAGAGCAGCAGCTTCACATTACAGCAAAAAAATAAGGAACCGGGGTAGGCGGAGGAAAAGCCATAGAGACTCGGGGAAAGTATTTGAGGTCGTGGTTTATTAACTTGGGTGTGCCCCAGTCATCACAAGAAACTAGATTCACGAGGTGGAATTCAAAGAATTCAAAGAGTACCGTACCTCGTATTATTTGAAAGAAAATAATTATTTATGCTGCAAGGTACAGAATAAAAATCTTATTCTCTGTGTGCTTCTATTTTCTATATTTTTTTTCCTTGCATGATATCATCACATATGAAGGTTTTCAAGGCTAAGGCCCTGAGGAGTTGGTAAAGGCAATTCGCCATTGACCTTCTAACTAAGGTTATAATGATGTGATTTGGAAATGAACACCCATCTTAAAGAAAACTACTGATTTTTTTTTTAATCTTTTGATATGATATTTTTCTTTTTTTCATCTGTTCCCCATATGATAAATTCATGAAAGCCATAACTAGAGCTGTCCAAGCCCTGTACTTGTAGATAACGTCTGGCTCAACAATATAGAAAATAAGAGGGCTGGACGGGTTAATTCAGACGCACACATGCATTGCGCCAGCTACAGCTAGAAGATCGCATATGACTAACATGATTAAGGATCGCAAATAAGCAAGACTTAGCTGAATATGACCAAAAAAATCTTCTTCTGAATGAGGAGTATACGAGAATGGAATCTCAACTGGACCATAAACCAGCTCAACAATTTTGACCATTGTAATGTGAGGAGGTATGAACATCGTGGATTGTCTTCACATTCGTTTGAATTGAGCGTGACGGCATCAACAATTGCGGGCGTCATGAATTATTTTTCAATGTTCTCCAGCGTTTTGAATAATTTTCAATATTTTAAGTTTAAAAGAGCGGTCGAATTATTGTTATTTCCGTTCTAAGATGCATTGCGAGTCCAGGAGGAAGAAGAAGCTGTGGTTTGAAATTTATGTCATGATCAATGCAGATGGATGTCTGACCATTAGCTACACGACGAAAAGTCTTGCATTGGAACATAGCCAATTCCAAAAAATAAAGGAACCGTCACTTACCAAAAGATGGAGTCCGAAATACGGCCAATGCACAAGTATCATTCACCCAACGAATGGCAAAGCCATCCTCCCTGAAAGCCTCAAAAATCTTCTCCAAATCTGTAGTCCGTGTACTCTGGGGGAAGTCGTACAGAACAAGAACATGCCCGGTGGCATATCTGGCTGAAGCGACAATAAAAATCAGATTAAAGCGGACCGGAGTAACCTACTAAACTTCAAAAATTTAATGGCTTACAGATGAAAAATCATCGCTGCCAATACATTGATAGCACACTTACAGTTGCTTAACTCCGTGATTTCGCCACGGCCGTAGCGATCCAACTCTTCGTCAGAGTCCGAACGGTCAGCGGATCCACTCTCATTAAGCTGGTCGCTGTAGAGCCCATCCTTCTTGTAAAGGAAGTGTCCCCTCCCGCGGCGTTTAGTTGTAGATTCTGACCGTACATTTTCAGTTTCCTGGGAGCTGGATACTCCCACAATGTCCGGCAGCGGTCGGTCAGCGACAGCCTCCCAGTCTACAAGCGTAATTGGGCAGAAATCAACAAGGAACGAGTTTAATGAAGTTTCAAGGTTACACGCAGAATAAAGTACCGATTGTGAGAGAAGAGTACCGTCAACGTCGTCGTCGTCGTCGTCACACACTCCCCCTGAAACACGGGAATCCTTCCGCTCTGGAATCGTCCCCTTTAGCTGCTGCTCAGAGTCCCTGCATATACGCAAAAACATAACATAATTGAGCTTCGAGAGAGGCAGAAACATCGCATCAAAACCCTAACTCAAGAAAACGGATCAGGACCTAAACGCGTGGGCCGGAGAAGGCGGGGCTAAAGAAGAAGGGACCGAGCGGGCGCCGTCCAATTTCTCACGGAGGATAAGGGCCTGCTTACGGAGATCATCAGCTCGCTCTGGAGAACCCCGAGAATCGTGGAGACTGGCCAGGTCGCTAATGGCAGCCACGGCCACTCCAAGGGAATCGCCATCACGGTCACCGGGGGCCAGGGAGGAGGCATCTGTGCCCCCGAGGCGGGCGACGATCGATTCCAGCACGGCTATGGCGCCATCGATGTCACCCCCTTCGGCGAGATCCTCCACGGCTTCGCTCCAGTTGGCCTCCCCCCCTTCGCTTTCCATCTCTCCGTCACCGTGACTGCCTTCTCAGCGAGGCGGCAGATAGCGATGCCGTTGTTGGCGGGGGGGAGGGGCGGCTTGTTGGGCTTACAGGACAACAGCTTCCGACACAAGTGGGCCTTAAATCTTCATAGCCCATAGTTTAAATGGGTCGTAAATGTCTCTTCTTTGACCGAGTCCAGCTGTGCCGCAGAGGACGCTATCCCCTTCTAAATGACGTCAATAATAATATATTTTAATTGGTTGCGAACTTGGTTTCTACAAGCCCGAAGGGCCTGAAGTGAAGAATAAATAAAGAAAAGGGTTTTTTTATAAAAAAAACTTGACGACGTCTGCATGGGAAGGGGATATAGAAAGACGACAAGATCCGTGTCTGACAAGAAGCTGGTGACGGTCTGGACCAGCAGAGAGAAGACCGTTGACCTTTCCTTCACCGGCCTTATCCTCATTTGTTCCACAGAAGCAGAGCGAGTACGAGAGATTCCCGGGTTTTACGCCAAACCAAACGCCCGCTAGACGAGCCCAAGGGAGATAATGCTGATCATCTCACGACGGATTATCCGAATGCTCGAGGAACGGGGGGCAAGGCCAGCTCATCTTCAGCCTGCAGCAGAGAAAGAACGGGGAAGAATCAGTGACCAGCTACCGGAGAACTCAGGTGACCCAACGGCAGCTTGGAGATGATCGAGGGTGCCTGAGCTTTTTGTCGAGCGGGCGGCACAGCAGCGGCATGCCCACTCGGCGCCGCCGGTAGATCGAGCTCCGGTTGCAGATCATGTTCCTTTTCCGGCTGAAGATACGATGGCATGGCATCTGACTCGGTCTCTGCACCCATGTCGGCCTCCAGGGCGTCCAGTTCTGGGAGGTGTCAGAGAGAAGGGAGTAAGACAGACGGATACTTGGAAGCATGCAGTCTGTTTTAGTAAAACGGTTGACTTTGTCCGAATATTGGAAAAGATGCGGAGAGATAACGCGGAGAAAAAGAAAGAAGCGTGAGCTCACCACCCATGAGCTCGTCCTCATCGATGTCGTCGGGAACGCTGTAACTTCTACCGAGGGATTCCTGGATTTCTGAGCTGATATCCATCATATCCATCATTTCATCTTGCATGCTCTGCGAACAAGAAACCGATCTGGGTTTAAGCCATAGATCAAAGACCAAACAAGCTTCGGTGGATCAGGGAGCTGCCATGAACAGGGATAATGTACATCTATGTCAGAGATGTTCATCTTCTTCGTGATTCCTTTCAGCTCCTTATTCGCCGACTTCAAAGCAGACATCTGCAACAGGAAACTTGGTTTTCAGCCCCCAATGAGCACAGAAATGAGCAGTAGAGAGTTCTGGTTCAAGCATGAAATCTCGGAGCGTACGGTCTGCTGAGCGTCTTTGAGCCCTTCAGTGGCGAAAGAAACTTGATCAAGGTTGAACGTCTGATTGTACATCATATCACGCTGCCCCTCGTACCTGAACAGACATGGCAGATAAGAAGAAAAACCCAATAACTGATGCCCAGAGGTGGGTTCCGGATGAAGAAAATGATAAAAAAAATAACTAAAATAAGCTCGTAGGGGATCCACGGATGGGTGTTCAGCTCAGGAGTGAGAAAACCATGCATGCTCATGATTTTGGGTGTTTGGTTCTCTTCAGAATGAAGCTATCAATTAAATAGGGAAGGTTCACTGACATTCTCTTCTGCTTGAGAACGCGCATAGCTCGAGCTTTAACAGCTTCTTGTGCAGGCCCAGGCCGGGTCCTCTTGATCTGTTCTTTATATCTGGCAAGCTCGGCATCAAGCTTCTTAATTTTTTCATCGACACTTTCACCTCTCTTATTTATCTAAAAAATAGCTGCTCCATCAGTCAGGCAACAGAAACAACATCCATAAATACAGATCACAGCAGGGAATTCCTTGGTTTCTAATCCGACGGAAAATGAAAACTTAAAGAGTTTCAACACCGAAGAACAGAAGTTTCAGAGCTCAATCTGTTTCAAAGAGATTAAAAAGAGATACCCATTACGTAAATTTAAATATTCCTTTTGGGGGAATTGATGTTCATCAATTTCATCAAGAGAAAAATAATGCCAAGATTTTCTTTTTGCTCCCTACTAGCAACTACAATCAGGAGTATAGCACAGAAAATGAGATTATGACATCAGCTTGGCCGTCACTCAGGAATGACTGTTCAAATCCCCAGGAAAAAGAAAAATATCCCCATGGAGAAAATATGTTAAAATCAGGCAAAAATAAAAATCTGGTAGTCAGGAGAGTGAATAGGAGTACCCAGCAGGATTGATATATAATACAAGTGAATAGGAGTTGGCCAACCGATTCCCCTGAATCGTGGCATTTTAATCTGACATCGCTGAAGAAAATCTAATGATCTTTCCATTTATGAGGGAGGAAATTAATCGAATTATCCTCCTTTGGGCACTTCTTTTAAGTAAAACAATTTTCTAAACTCAGCGCTTAACTCCATGTTTCAAGCAGTAGCAGTTTCCTGTCCTTTAACAACGGCACGTTGAAGCAAGTGCATATATGTCCGAAGAATTCCATCGCATGGCCGAAGAGGCACGATAAAATACAATCCTAGTGAGAGTTGGAAAGGGCATACGGGATGAGGCTTTCGTGAGGATTAGGGTTCATGTGCAGAGGATGAACACGGCCGATTCATCATCTTGAGCTTTCCCATCGAAGATAAAGCTGATTCAGTTCAGTCGACACGATGATCGCTCATGGTGATCTTTGCGGGAAGAAACAGAGAAACATAGAACACACGGCAACGAGTTACGGCCAATCCGCAGGAAACTTAGGAAGCGGGGAAGCTGATTGAGCCCTTTTTCAACATTCTTCCAGAGGAAAGTATATGTTAAGGAAAAGAACCTTACCCGATCTGTCGCGTCTTGGATAGTGGGAAGGGGTTCCTTGTTCTTCTTCGCACCGAATACTCGCCTCATCCCCTCGTTCTCTGGTACTTGAAGCAATCACTGCCTTGATTCAACAAGAAGACCACGCATTTATCTATGTACGAGAGAATTCATCACTGGGAGGAAGAACCTACGAGGGACCCGAGGTACCTCAGAGACGAATTTTCTCGAGCGCCTAAATCACCGGACTAAGCAGACAAGGAAGGGGCTATCATCCCATCTCTGACGTCAACGCGGGAAAGTTCCTGGCAGTCTTCTCTCATCAAGGCCAACAAGAAGACGTTGACCAGTAGGAGAGGCGCTGGCGGGTCCCACTTCTGCGTTAACAGTCATACGTGAGGGAAACTGCTTCCTCATTGAACAATGCTCAGAAACGGGAAAATTGAAATAGCAAAAACAAACGATCTTCCACTCATCCACGGAAAAATTCCCGATCGAGGACGATGGAGAACTAGGCGAAAGCAACGCCGGCGGCAAAGTGGGTGAAAAAAGAAACTACGGTTGAAAAATGGTGGTTTTTCTTCCCCTCCGTTGACGATTTCTTCTGGGCTTCTATCATATGTGACGAGGCGTCCCGTCAACTAGCGGGCGGCCAGAAGTCGCCCCCCTCCCCCCCCCCCCACCCTAAAGCCCTCTGACTCACTTCATGGGCACACGTTTTGGAGGGTCCAGCTGAAAATAAACTGAAAGCAGTGTTCTGGGTTCCACTGTGGAGAGTTCCTAGGTGCCTGGTCGACAATGGTAAGAAAGAATATGGTGTCAATTAGGGTTGGTGATATGCGCAGATGGAAGAGAGGAAGGCCAAGAAGCAGAGCAGGCTCTCTGGGCCACCCGCAGGGCCACGTCCAGCTTCCCATGCGCCTTGCACGCGGATAGCAGAGCTCCCCAGAGGGCCTCGTCGGGCGTACACTCCATCCCCTGGACCAGCCGCTCGGCGTCCTCCAGGCGCGCCGCCCTCGCCATCATGTCCACCATGCATGTGTAGTGCTCCACCGTCGGCTTCACCCCGAAGTCCTCCTCCATCGCCCGGAAGAGTCTCTCGCCGGCCTCCACCAGGCCGCCGTGGCTGCACGCCGAGAGCACGGCGGTAACAGCCATGGTGTCGGGCCGCTCTCCCGCCTCCAGCATCTCTTCAAACAGTTTCAGGGCGTCTGCTGAACGGCCGTGGGCGCCTAGGCCAGAAACCATCGCAGTCCACGAGACGAGGGTCCTGTTCGACATCCTGTCGAACAGGTGCCGCGCACAAGAGAGGTCCCCGCACTTGGCGTACATGGCCACGAGGGAGTTGGCGACGGCCACCTCCGAGGAGAGACCAGCGGCGATGGCAGTGCAGTGGAGCAGGCGGCCGTAGCGGAGGGAAGCGAGGGCCGCGCAGGCGCGGAGGACGGAGGACAGAGTACGCGGGTCGGGGGGCTTTCCCTCGAGAAGCATCTCCCGGTAGAGGCGGAGGGAGGAGAGGAAGAGGCGGCGGTCGACGTAGGCGCGGATGAGGGCGTTGTAGAGGAAGATGGGGCGGCGGTTGGCGCGTGCAAAGATGTGGCGGGCCTCGCGGAGGCAGCCGCACTGAGCGTAGGAGCCGGAGAGCTTCGTCCGAAGGAGGTCTTTGCCGGCGATCCCCACGCTCACCATCACAGCGTGAGCGCGGCGGAGCGCCAGGAGGTCACGGGCAGCGGAGATGGAGTCGAGCAGACTGGCGTAGAAGGGAACGTCCACGGGAACCGGCATGGCAGGCGAACGTGTCTCTCTTCGCTGCTGCTTGCACTCACCCCCGCGGGACCCTTCGTATCTCCAACATGGGCAGTGAACCGGTAGGTGAGCAGAGACCGGCTCCTGACGTGCTCTATCGAACGAAACTTTGGAGGCAGAACACGACGTTCAGTCGAATGGAAGAGGTAATAAGCTGAGCGGGACCCCGACATGGAAGCCGGGCGGTGATTTCTGTGAGGACGTGCGCGCACAAAGCACAAACATGGTTATAAGCTGGACAATGTCACACAATTGTTTGTCGGCATTGGGCTTTGGGCGTATTTATTCACGATCCGACTAGCCTAAAGCTTCGTGTTCGAGAATTCTAATAACTCACATTACCTAATAGGATATGTCACTAGATATTTAACCTTTTTTATAAATAATATTACGAGAATATTATGCTCTTGATTATTAGATTAAGATATGTGAGATTAAGGTTAATCATGTTGGTAATGTCATATTTAATAAGGCTCACAAAGGGGTCTCTCTTCTTGTCCACTCCCCACCTTCCTCGATTATGAAGGGGGGGGGGAAGCCGACTAGCCATTATAAGGGGTTCGAAGTAGCTATTACGCCTGAGTTGTAGTTAACCATTAGTGCCCAACAGTCGTCTCACTCGTTAGTCGTTGGGACACCTCGAGCACCCTGCCGACAGTTCTACCTGCTTGGGTGTCATCCCGCCCGTCAACATCCACTATGTCCCCTGGGACTACGTTCCCACCATCGCGCATGTGTATTAGTCTTCCCACCTCCTGCGGGGGTTCCCTATATTTAGGAACCTATTTTGTCTTGGGTCCCATCATGCTGCACCTTGTCGCCATGTTGTGCAGGTCCGTCATGTCGCGTGCATCTGCCATGCACACACATTTGTTGTGCTTGCTTTGTTACGTGCACCTACCGTGCCACGCACGTCTGCCGTGCCTACTTTGCCAAGTGTGCCCATCGTGTCGCACGCGCTTGCTGTGCTATGCACACACGCTGTGCCCGCCATATCGAGCGCGTCCACTGTGCCGCACGCGTTCGCTACACCTCATGTACTTGTCCCGCCACATGAGCCTACCTTGTCATGGGTGCTTTTTGCCTCTTGTGGGTCTACTACACCATTGTGTCCTCTGTGATATTCTCTCCCCCCCCCCCTTGAAGAATCTGATATCTTCGTCAGGTCAATTGTAAGGTACTTAACAAGTTGTTCCTTGAACTACTATAGGTCCTTCTCATGGTGCCACATTGTCGCTTCATGTGGGTCCCTTTCCCATCGTATGAGAAAGTCAGTGTGCTTGTGTACATTGTGGTGGCCACCTCCATCGGTGAACTTGTGGGTCAAGATAGCATTGATTTCCCTTGAAAAGGTTATTTTGGCTGATGGAGGTTGTCACTTGACTCTATTCCTTTATGGGCTCTTCTGGTCGACCTTGTACCTCTTCAGTAATGATAGGTGGAAGATTAGGTGAATGGGCAACCTTAGGGGCAATTGTACTATGTATGCCACTGAGCCAATTCACTCCAATATGGTGAAGGGACTTTCAAACAATGGAAGTAAGCTTTGGCTTTTAGTAGTCTCTCATGCATCAGTGAATTTCAGGGTTCATCCAAAGTAGCACCTTGTCATCTAGCTGAACTTGACTTTTCATCAATGTTTGTCCTCCTACTTTTTCATTCTATTCACTACTTGTTGGAGATTATCTTTCGCTGCCTCCAACATGTTCATGTGCTCCATTGCTAGTCTGGTGGCTGCATGACACCTCTTAGGGGCATCCAACAGTTGGAGGGGCATCAATAGTTGGTGGCTTGTGACTAATTTGAAGGGGGAGTAACCTGTGACACTATTTCATTGGAGGTTGTATGTCAATTGTGCTGAATCTAGTAATTCTGCTCAATTGCCCTACTTGACGAAGACATAGTGTTTGAGATATTCGTCCAATATATTATTGAGATGTTCTGTCTGACCATTTGTATGTGGATGGTATGCAGTGGAGAAGTACAACTGCCCCTAATTTAGTGAACAACACTTTTCATAATCTCCCTACGAAATGTGTATCTCTATCGAATATGATCCTCGAGGGTAGTCCTTAATGCTTGACCACATGCTTGAATATCAATTATGTTGCTTCCTTCATTGAGTAATGTCAATTAGTGGTCATGAATATCCTATACTTTGTGAGTTTATCAACGATCATGAGTATGGTATTAGCCTCCCCATTCTTTGATAGGCTAGTCATGAAATTAAAGGTAATGGTGTCCTATGGTACCTCTAGAATGGGCATTGACTGTAGTAGTCTGGTTGGGCGATGACATTTTATCTTGTCTTACTAGTAGATCATGCATGACTCGACGTAGGCCTCTACATCTTTCTTTACCCCTAGTTAGAAGTAGTGCCTACTAAACAAGGCCAGGGTACAATGTTGACCCAAGTGACCTGACCACTAAGTGTTGTGTGCCTCCGTAGTTAACTTTCGTCATAGGTCCTCAGTTGTTGAGATGTATATTCACCGTCTCCTTGTGAATAGTAGTCCATCCTTGGACCAATATTGTCATGTTGTGTTGGCATAAATATAGGCAAAGATCTTCTAGGCATAGGAGTCCTGTTTGCATGCCACCTTGACCTACAACAATAGGTCCATGGTTAATTATGTTGTTATTCCGCCAAGAATTGTTGTCATCTTATATGCTTACTCGTGAGTCTTGGTTGTGATGAAAAATAAATATTTATCACGTTGTTAGTGAATACGGTGAACTAACTATCAAACAAGTAATGTTGCCATATCTTTGAGCAGTGGATAATTGTTGTCATTTCTCTTTCGTGGATAAGGTAGTTTTGCTTGGCACTATTTAGCTTTTGGCTCTCGAAAGCCACTAAGTGACCTTCTTAACTGAGCATGCCTCCCATTGCCTTACTATTAGTATCTATGTGCAAGATAAATGATTTTTTTTACCAAAGTTAACAATCAAAGGAGAGGTTCTAACGAGATTGCCTCCTTGAGTTTGCTGAAGGCTTCTTTATATACAGAGGTCCATTGCCAATCCTCATCTTTCCTCAAAAGATTGATAAGAGGGCCACCATTTAAGAGAACCTTTTTATGAATCTTCTGTAATAACTAGTCAACCCCAAGACTGACCGCATGTCTTTAACACTTCGTGGTGCTGTTCATTCCTCGATGGCTTTTACTTTCACTTTGTTCATATGTACTCTCCCCTTGTTAATGATGTGTCCCAAGAAGTACACTTCTTTTTTGGTAAAACTACATTTAGAAGGGTTCAAGTATAGGCTATTATTTCGAAGCAGCTCTAATACTATGCAAAGGTGGTTGAGGTGTTCTTGCATACTATGACTGTAGATCAATATGTCATCCAGATACATCACTACGAACACATCAAAATACGACTAGAAAATAGAGTTCATTAAGTCGCAAAAAGTAACCAATGCATTGGTGGACCCAAAGGACATTATTGTGAACTCAAATGACCCATATTAGGTTACACAAGCTATCTTAGGTTCGTCACTTACCTAGATCTGCACTTGGTGGTATCTGTTCTTCACGTCTAGCTTCAAAAATATCTTTATTGCACCCAATCGGTCGAATAGGTCTTTGATATTTGGGACTAGATGTTTGTTGCGAATTGTGAGCTTGCTCAAAGCTATGTAAATCACACATAGTTTGAGGCTTCCATCCTTCTTCTTCTAGAATAACACTGATGTGCACCGAATAGTGAATTGGACGATTGTAGGTTTCTTGTTTCTAGTAAGCCTTGAATATATGTGTGTAGTTTTGTGAGGTGATGCAGCGACATCTTGGATGGTGCTCGTGTTGGAGGGTTGACCCCTTGGATCAACTCTATGGCATGGTCTACCCCTCTTCTTGGAGGTAGTTTAGTTGGTAGCCTCTCTAGTAGCTTGTCAGCAAATTCTATTAGTAGTTGCTGAATTTCACTGGGGATCTTGGTTTGTTTCACCCATGGGTTGGTCTGGACAGTTAACAAGAAAGTTTCATCTCTTTTTCTTAGTACTTCTATAGGTGTTGTGCTAAGATCACCTTATCATGTTAGTCCATAGTGGTTTGCAAGATTTACCTCAATGGCCAAGACGAAGTGTGGTCTTTCGCCCTCTTGGATTGCTACTTCATTAGGAAAAACTCCGCAATTACCTTTGTTAGGAAGTCCATGCCTAATAATGGATTGAAGGAGGTAAGAGACATCACCATGTAATCTAAGTGGCCCTCCTACCTCTCACCTTTGTGCATGTCCCATTTGCTACTCCCGCAAGTGGTTGCGTAGAAGAGTATGTAGCCTTGAATCTTGTTTTAGTGGGTTCCACCTTGAGGCTGATTCTCTAAGCTTCTTCTAGAGAAATGAAGCTACTTGTTGTACCACTATCTACCATTGCTGCAACTATTTCTTCATCAACTTGGGCCCTAACATACACTAATCTCTTTTCTGATTGTCCTTGTGTTAGTTGCAAGCATTTGATGATTTCAAAAGAGTTGATGTCTTTTTTAACTTCATCCTCGTCATTGCTCGATTGAATGGTGTTCAACTATGACTTATTGTTGAAGCTTGAGCAATCACGCTTTCTATGTGATCCCTGACGTGACTCAGTCATTATTTAGTAAATTACATAAATTTAAAATTTATAAAACTAGAAAAATATAAAATTTTAGATATTTAGAAGTATTTCTGAACAAATATATCAAGTATAATTTAATAAAACTTTTAAAAATAGCATAAATTTTCCAAATCAATCACAAGGATGTAATATAATATATGGTAATTATTCAGAATTTTCCTCAAAGAATACTAATTTCTATGAATTTTATACTAAGAAATGAAAATAAAATATATTTAAAATTCACAAAAAAAGAAAATAAAGGTGTGGACGTCAAGATGACATCAGCACTCAGCGAACGCAAATCAAGCGAAAACAAAGTTCACCCGGTGATTCTTACGTAAGTGATTACAAATGATTTAATTGATTAAATTAAGATCTGTAAAAGTCGAAAGTATCGTAATTAAATAAAATATATTTTGGTAAATTAAAATCACACAAATTATCACTAAATGAAGTGCAAAGTAAGTTGAAAGTAGGAAAATAGAGTTCTGGCATTGCGGCGGTGATGCGTCAGTGATGTACCGAAATCCTGAGCGTTAGGGAAGATAGTCATGTAGTGTCGACGGCCTCGAAAACTCTCCTTGGACAAAGATGATGTGGGCAATCTCTAGATCTCCTTACAAAGTCTAGAGATCAATGAAATGGGTCGTCAAATTGTCTTCAGCGGTTGTCACTCGACAGAGTAGAAAAACGACGACTTTGCGACTCTCTAACAGTTGTCACCCGACGGAGAAGAGCTAAATGGAGGTGGGGCATGTGTTAGAGAGCTTTATCCTCAAGTTTGCATAACAAGATGAGGCTCTTCATCGCATCTAGTAAGCTCTTAGGAGGTGGTGACTTGTCTCTTAGTGGATCGTCCTCTTCTTAACAACGACTTGTTCGTCGATCAATTGGAGATACTTTACTCGATGGATTCGTAATTCTTTTATCATGAATTATTCAGAAATTTTAGTAACAATGCTCTACGAATCGCATTGATGAGATTTTTGCCGATGATCCAACAATTCTGGTTGCTTAATCTTTTATTAGCAATCTACAGAAAAGTCGCGATAATCAGATAAAAAAATATGAGTTTTGGCTCTAGGAGGATTCAAACTCGTGCTGGTTGCTTGCTCTTTTTGGGGAAGGTGACACGGGTTTAGTCTCACATCGATTGTGAGTTGAAGTTTCTGGCAAATATAAAGTAATATTACATTCATGATCAAGTCCTTTTCTTGTGTGTGTACAACCACTACTTGTCTCATAGCCGGCTGGCCACCAATGATGTGGAAGGGGAGTGGCGCACATGTGTCCCCATTGGTTCAAGCCGCTTGAGCCCCTACTCATGGCTCTTGCCTGATAGTGCTTTTGACCCACTTGTGGGCCCCGCTAGCTGGCAGGTCCCCCCTCATTTTGCTATATTTTTATTTTAATTTATTTTTCTTCATTTATCTCAAAATTAAGATTATAAAAATCATATAAAATTATATAATTATATAAAAAATCACGCTAATCAATTGAAAACTATTTTTGACACTTTAACATAAATATAAGTCTATTTATCATGAGTTAAGGCTAAAACTATATTATTTACTAATTATTAATTCATGATAATGAAGACTTATCAGTGCCCCACAATTGAAGCAACTCTTTCTGTACAGTCTCTCAATATCTTTGGACGAAGTTGGGTCTAGTAGTGTCTAAGTCGTCAAACTTGTGTGTCTTCCTCTCCATCCATGTTATCTATTTCCATTTCCCTAGCCATGTTGCCCTTGTGACCTCTTGGTGCGGCTTCCGAGGCAAGTTGGATGCGTTAGTAGTCCTCGAGGCTCTTGGTGATCTTACATGTTTTATCTAGGGTGGTGACATGGTACATGAGGCATTATCTTCTTGCCCACGATTGTAGCTCGACTAAGAAAAATTATATTATGAGTTCTTTGGGCATCATTGAGATGTCAAGCATCAATGTCAGGAATCTCTACACATATTCTCATGTGGAACCACTTTGCTTCAATGTCGTCAACTTAGACATGACTTCAAACAGCCGAGTCGAGGGTCTAAAATATCGGCTGAGGGAGGTTTTGAAGTCCTCCAATGTCTCGGCACGTCTTCTCTCTTCACCCTCCGCCATAGGGCTGCTAAGTCTTCGAGGAGTCATGCAACGATCTCAGGGCATTCTGCATCAGTGTAGTTGTGGTCTCTGAGGTAGTTCTCTACCTCCCATATGAAGGTATCCACCTTGGTTGTATCTCTTTAGCTTGAGAATGGCTTGGGTGAGGGAAGGCCAGTTCCCTTCTGACCCCTCATATGGGGGTTAATCCCCTGTTGATAGAGTTGCTCATTAAAGGCTCTGAAGTGTTCCTTTGTCACGGTATGTTCTTTCCCACTAGTAGTACTTCTAGATTCTCTTTGAAGCTCCTCCACCTTCTTATTTGTCAACTAGATGTGCTCCTCTAGTCACTCTTGTGTATCGTTTGAGCACTCTTCTTATCGGGCCATCATTTCGTGAAGTTTGGACATGTTTCCTTCGAGTGCCCTTTTGACCACCTGGAAGAACTCTCGTGTGCACTGCAGTTCCTACTCTAGTCGTGCAATACGTAACCCTTGTCCCTTTTCTCCTATGACTTTAATATCACTATTACACCTCAGGTGAAATGTGGCACTAGGTAGCTAAGATTCACTCTCTAGTTAGCCTTCTTAATATTCAATAAAGCTTACAAAAGGGTCCTTCCTCCTATCTACTCCCCACCTTCCTCAATTATGAAAGAAGAGGGAAGCGTACTAACTATCACAAGGGTGATATATCCAAATTTAATATGATACTAAAATTTAATATTTATAACTAAAAATCCAAATAAGCTCTCTTTAATTATAGGAAAGTAGAAAGCTGAAAACATTATTATCCAACTGTAAAAGTTAATAAAATCTCATAATATATAGATAACTAACTCTAATTTAATATCTTTAAAAGTTATTATGTAATTCAGTATGTCATTCTCTTAACAATAATATTACTAGAGGTCAACAATTGGAAATTGAGGACAAAAAAAATAGAGAAAGTAGTAATGGTAAAATTTAGAAACCTAAACTTATTCTAAAATCACAAAAAAAATTACAAAAGCTAAAAAACAAACTATGCTACACTTTCCAAGAAAAAAAATAGCCTAATTCTATGTGGCTCTTATGAAATCAAATTCATTTCAAAGAAAGGTCAAAAATATAGAAATTTTAGGAAATAATATTTTTAAAATCTAAAAACTTATTTTAAATGTTTGATAAAATCATGAAAAATTTATGTAAGATAATAAACTAACTATGTTATATTTTTCCAAAAATATCATGACCTAATTCTATGTAAAACTCGTGAACTCAGATTCAATCCAAGGAAAGGTTGAAATACGAAACCCAAAAAATAATTTCTGATGATGTGCTGATGATTTTCTCACCAAATCATGAAAACATGATTGTTTGAAGAGATAGAATATTCGTTGGATTTGTAAGAAAGTAAGGTATCTGAGAAAAATCATAAAGCTAAAAAAACTTCACGATTGGATACAGATATTGTTTGCTACTCATAAAATTTTTTTTGACGATATGCTTGATGATTCTGTCACAAATCATCAAAACATGATCATTTGAAGAGATTAAACATTCATTGGATTTGTAAGAAAGTAAGGTATATGGGAAAAAATTTAAACCTATTTCCCTTCTTCTGCCTTGGTGTCAGTGTCAAGGCGTGAGAAGTTAGGGATATAAAAGAATAACTTGTTAAAAATTCAACAAAATACCATCTATAAAATGATACTCGTCATCTACAAAATAAAACAGGATCTAAGGAGTTAAAAAAAGAGAAGAAAAGGTGGAGAACTTGTCCTTACAACCCTAAGGTCTTTGTTGTATCTCACCTAGCCATCACCTCCTATTTGAGTGCGAAAAAAGATCCCATTTCATTTGCCCTCTCTTAGTTTTATATACCCACGCCTATTTGGTCTTTTTTTCTCTATCCTTTGTATGGTCTGATTGAACCCAATATTTTGGGTGCTGTGTTTAATTCTTTTATGCCCCAATTAGCACTTTCTCATGTTTGGGGTCTTTGAGCTTTAACATTCCATGTTGATTCTTCTCACTTTGGTAATTTCATGGAAATTAATCTCCTTGAGATAAAATTCTGAAATTTTAAATCCCTGTTCTTGATAAATTTAGACACATTCTCAAGGTGGTAAACCTTATAAAAGGGTTAGAAAATATTAGTAATTAAATCCATAAATTATATGATATAGATATAGCTATTTGAAGTCATTTATCCATATCTCTTGACTTTTGCTCTAACATGAAGAGATATTGTAATTCATACTTATCATTATTCATTAATGCAAAAGTGGAAGAAAAAATTAATTAATTTTTAGTGATAAATAAATATTTATCAAGGGGGTTCAGAGTAGTCGTTACACCTTAACTATTCACTAGCCACTGAGGCACCTTGAGCGCCCCACCGACCATTCTGCCTACCCAAACATTATCTTGTCTATTGGCATCCACTGCGTCCTGCCATCATGCGGGTGTATTAGTTTTCCTGTCTCCTGTGGGGGTTCAATATGTTTGGGGACCTATTTTGTCTTGGGTCCTATGATGCCATGTCTTGCTGCCATGCCGTGCAAGTCCATTGTGCTGCGTGTATTTGTTAGGCCTTGCATGCTTGTCTTGCTATGTGAGCCTGTCCTATTGCCGGTGCCTATTGTCCCTTACAGGTCTACTGTGTTGCTGCTTCCTCCGTGACACACACCATGCCACGTCTTGCCAAGTTTAATATCAATTGCAAGGTTATGTTTGAAGAATCTCGCTTTGATGTATTATTATGTGACATTATCCTTCTTCAAATTACAATCACCTCATTAGAATGTGTTAATCGAAATATCGATTGATAAGGTCTTCAAACTACTAAAAGTCAATATTATGCTCTCACAACATATTTTCCTCTAGTTGGCCATGTCATATGATGAGGGAGAACGTGTGGTGATTATATATGTGAAATTAGCTATCACCATTGATCTATATATGATTTAAAATGACTCTTGTTTATTAGTGTAGTGTGTATGGATTATTAATGAAAGTTATAATGGGCATTATTTATATTATGCATATGACTCCTGCATTATATATTTTTTGTATTTATTTTGTACAATCTTAGTGACACATGGAACATTTGATGCAACATAAGTTTTCTACTTCATATATTATAGATATGATCCTTGTCCACGTAATAGCAAAGGGGTCACAAATGATGAATCACTTATCATTGTAGTTGATATAAGAAATTAAAAAATAAATTATCTAGAAATAATTGAAAAAAAACTACATGTCCCTAAACTTTTTTAATGTTTATAATATGATAACAAACAAGAAGATTAGACACACTAAAAGGTGCAGGGTCTTTTATCATTTTGAGACCTTGTGATGTATTTCTACTATGGAATCATGACCATGTACCATTGTCATCTATATCATTTATGTTTTAGAACATAGAAAATTATGTTTCCAAACTTATTTTCTAATATATAGATGTTTATGTAAATTGATTAAATACAAACAAACCTGGTTTCTTATGAGTAATCTCTGAAGTTTCACTTAGTTCATACTTATATATAGTTATGTGTGGGGACCATTATCTACTTTTAATATTTTATGAGCAAGATGATTTGTGACTTTCATAGATGAGTGCTCACAAACTACATGAATATATCTAATATAGTATAAATATGAAGTTGGGGGAATATTTTAATTTTTATTAATTTGAAATCATTTTGAAATAAATATTTAAAAAATAAGTAATATAACATTAAATATTATTTTAATCACATAATAAATATTTTTTTAGAAGATCATGAATAATTCATAAATCTTCACATGTAAATGCCCCACAAAGAAATGGTGTTACGTAGATGAAAAATTGACATATTTTGAAGTGGAAAAAGCTATTATATTCTAAAGGAATATACCGAAAGATTTTTGGGGAGAAGTGGAAAAATTAGTTATTGACCCTAATATTAGAATTTAAGAACATATTAAAAACTTGATCATCACATTAGCTACATATTCTATCAAAAATTAATTTGATTCATTAGATATTTGTACATGTATCATATGTCAACAATCAAGATAAATCAAAGGGAAAACTTGATATGAGAACACTAAAATATATTTTAGTTGATTACTTGAACACCAAAAAATGATACAACTTTTAGCAAACATGAATCATTTTTTAATACTAAGAATAATTCTTTTGAGGGATAAATTTTTCCTAAAGATGATATTGAAGAATTATAAGTTAGAAACTTGTTACCAATATC